TTTTTATGATCAGTTCACCACATTGGGTTCGCAAATTAGCAGCAACCGGTGTTGCAAATGGCAGCCACTGCTTTTAAATAGTGCAATTCACAGCATTCACATTTCACACCAAAACACACATATAGTAAATGCCAGACCATAGCGTCAGCGTGAGTTTGGATTGGTTCCCAAACAGAGTGGAGCGCGTGCAGCAAGACGCTACTACTTTGCCTCGAACAGCATTAATAATCCTGCGCTGAGCCAGCGCTGCCTCGAAATAGTCTTCCTCTGCGTTTCGAACGCCGCCCACACGAACAAAATGGTCACCTTTCAGGCGGTCAGATCGCTGACCTCGCTGGGTGCCCTTAGTCTTGAGTCCAGGCGGACGCCCCAGGGCAGCGTTGGGTGAACGCTGCATTGCTTTTGGGGTGTGCCGTCCTTCGGATAAGACGTCAAACTGAGGTCCCACCTGCAACCCAGAAGCCGCATATTTTTTTTTTTTTGGGGGGGGGGGGGGGGCATTTCGTTGATAACCCGGTCTCCGAGCTGTCGGAGCCAAACAGCCGCCTTATACCAGGGCCGTCCGGTATTTGTAGGGTTGCGAGACGAGTGACAGCGACAATCAATTTTGGAACTGCTTCGTGTTTTGCTCCAAAGTCAGCAGGTTTACACCCAAATGATAAGGCAATTCTGGTGTCAACAGAAACCCAAAGTAGCACTAAAATTTAAAGATTGCAAAGACAATAAAACCCATCGTTCTCACAAGAACCCTATATATAAAAAAAATATATATTATCCGTTAATAGTGAGCTGGAGAAAGCCAAAGAAAATTACCCTTTGTCCCGAGAATCTCACGTCACTTTGCACTTGTGAATGACGCAAAATAATGCTTGTCGCAATTTCACATTATCTGCACAAGATTAAGTTGCAGGGCGGAAAAAATATATTCTTTTTTGTGCTTCCGCAATCTCCCTGCTGTCCCCAGAGAGGGAAGCAATTTAGATTCCATTTCACTCTAATGCCCGAGCAAATACCAGCATTTAAGAATTAAATTTCAGAGCAAATTTTAATTATTATTAGTGTCGTTTTCTATTTAATCGAAGTCCAAGATTAAGCTCTTAAACCTCTTTGCTAAATGGCAATGAACCAAAACATTGCACTTATTAACCCGTTAAAGGAAGGTTGTAGAATCCCATTAAAGCCAGCCATTAAAAATGCAATTAAATACATATTGTCGCAATACTAATTATTGCTTTTGCTTATTTTCTGTGGTGTACATTCTAACAAGCGCAGTATTTATATTGAGTAAACACTAAATATTTAGTATTGAATGTTTTACTGATATAAATATTTATAGTTAATACATCTAAATATTTAGTATTCAGTCTTGCTTTGACACAAAATATTAAAATGCAACTGACTCGCCTGATAAAAGTGTTTAAATGACAAGGAGTTTGATAAGCAAACTAGTCACTGGTCGCTAGTACTGGTAGTTCAAGCCCCACATCCTGACTTTAAGGCTAGGTTGACCCAAGTGCGGTGCTGGAGGTGTGCTGCATTGTTGGAGATGTCGTCATTCAGATGAGACATTAAACCGAGGTCCCGTCTGTCTGTTTAGGTGGACGTTAAAATCCCATGGCACTATTCAAAGGTGTATCCTGCCAACAATCCTCCAGATAAAATTGGTCCTGGCTGTTCGTTGGATATTTCTATGTGAAAATTGGCTTCCGGGTTTGCCTAGAAAATATACCATCACCACATTTTACAATAAGTCCTGTGAAACACTTTGAGCCACGCTCTAGCCGTGAACGCACTGTATTATCATTACTGAGGGAGAAGCTTGTCTGTTTCCACTAGTCAGCGAGTCAATAACTAGAAGGCAACAATTTGTGGACAGTACAAAATAAAACAAACGTGAGACGTTCAGAGAATTTTTTGGTATACACAGCGGGGTATCAGAGATCAGAAGGAACTGCCAAGCCAAGATGGTTAAAGCAGAAACCATAATAGCTTCCCGGAGAGAATTGGATGTTTGAAAGGTGTGGAGAAAGGGCAGGAAGTGGAATTAAACATTACTCTTACAGTGAACGGTCCTGACATGAAGGGCCAAATAATCTTTCTTCTGTTACTGAATAAATTCTATGATTCTTTGTTCCAGAACAATACTTTAGGTTCCAAGTAATGCAACACTTTCAGGTGCATCAAGTCAGTGGTAGAGCAGGAGGACACAGGTTTAGAGTTGCGAAGTGCAATTTCAGGACAGACGCCAGGAAAGTTTTGTAGGTTATTTATAGAACCGCTGTCCTCGCTGAAAGGGAGTTGTTACTGCAGTGGAAAAATAATAATAATCCTTGCATTTCGATATAGCGCCTCACCACGGCATTGAGGTCTCAAAGCACTTCACAAAATGTAGCGTAAAATGGATTGACTGTACTTTGCGGACGAAACCCTCCAGCCAATTGCACACAGCAGAGTCCCACAAACAGCTGTGGATTGAGTGACTAATTTTTTTTTGGAGGAATTATTATCCCCCAGAAAGTGATCCTCCAACCGACTAACAACCAGGTTGCCATTTACCGCTCGGCAAACTGAGGTGTGTGGAGTAAGGAAACTTGCCTAAGGTTTCGCCCTGCCTGGGAATCGAACCACGGTCCTCTCGCTTTGCGAGGAATAGAAAATCTACAGGAAGAAATGCGTCGAGGGCCAAGTTTCGAACACTATCTATTGGGCAGGCATATGCTCCCATCTACAGGTGCAAGTGAGCATTTACACTGTACTGGAAATCTAAGCCTGGCACTCACTGTCCGATTTATTTCACTATTCGCTGGTCGCTGCCAGTTGCAAACTTTTCACTAGACTCTGGAATTGGAAACCGGCAGCCAATTCGTGTGCCACAATGTCCCACAAACAGCCGCTCACCAGAAAACAAAATAAATAAATGATTCGGGAAACATATTTTTAAATATTTCAGATTACACTTTAAGATTTTAAGAATTTCGTGTTAGTGTGAGGTTGAGTTGAGATCTCATATTTAACTTCTGATACTAGGACCCCTTGAGGATAAATGGACATGCGGATAATCAGGAATGAGGATAAATGGTACTCGCTCCCCTTCCACACTTAACTTTGGAATCTATTGCCCCAAATGGCGATAGCATTCAGGGAAATAGACCGTTGAACTATTAAGTGTGACTGTGTCACTGTCCTGAATTAGCATTAGCTGCTATGGGGCATTAAACCAGAGAACTTTACTGATAAAGCCTCTTCAACTGTGTCATTTTATCTTGTCAGGCTCATTACCTTGTGGACCTGATCCCCTCTGCAATCTCATTAGAGCTCAGCATGTCAACAACAAAGACGAAGAAAATAAACAGAAGTGGCAAGAGGACAATTATTTATTCTTATGGTTTAACTTTAACGATGACCTTTGCTTATTAAGATTACTCTAGATTAGTAAACAGCGCAGGGATATTGGTAATGAAAGGAAGCTATAATAATGATTGTTACTGAGGCAAGCTTACCAGCTGAGTCAATCACTCCCTGGTTTATAATTACTACTGTAGTTACTATCATAGTAGTCCATCACAGTGGTCCAAACTGTTTTATGAGCTGGCCACATCAAAACAAAGCTGTAAATGTCAAATAGACTGAAAATTCCACCCGGGGTTAGAAATTTCTGTCTTAACATTTTGTAGATTAACTGTGAAATATTAAATGTGCTGTAAAATATTCATGATATATATATATATGTGTGTGTGTGTGTACATATATATATATATGGCGGATTAAAAGAAACCAAGATCCATAGAGAGGCACTGTGCACTGTGACTACATTTGTTCATCCCCTGCAGAACAGTCTCAAGGAGGCGTAAAGAGACTCGTGTTCGCAGGTGCCGGTGCATGTTTTGAAAGCTCCAAAGGTTTCACATCGCATTCAAAGGACTGAACACTGTTCCTAGGGATCAATTCTCAACATACCAGAATTTCAAGTATGCTATCTATCGACAGTGAGGAAAAGGCCAGCCAGTTTGGGATTGAAGTAATCAAAACCAGTTCAATGAAAAAAATCCATGATTCAGATGCTTCGAATAGTGGTTGGGAACAACTCAGCATCAACAAATGCCGAAGCAAAGACAAGGTTTATTTGTGACCTTGAGAACAAAACTAATAAATCCACTCATGTGCCTCAAGCTGCCTCGTTCCTCTGGAGACGATTTATTTGAATTATTTCGCTGCCTCTCCATTTTCTTTACAGAGACAGCATCAGTGTACTTACGAGGAAACTCGCTTCATTTCCAACCGATTATACTCTGTAAAGCACTTCTTTTTAATGTGAATAAGCACAAGTTATTATGATTTAACAGTCGGAAGTTAACTGGAGTAAATGCAAAAACTTCCAAGAAACCACAAGGCCTGAAATAGTCTTTGCCAATGAGGCCACCTCGTCTCGAAATAAATAAGAAATATTAAATCCCTCAGCACTGCAGAAAAATCTTGAATTACACTTCCATTTCTAACTTCCAACAACAGTATTTCTTCGGATGACTCCAGAAAGCAGCCAAATCAAGGCTGAATTTAAGATTGTTCACAATTCAGCCCAATTTTAAGACAAATTATCCATATGACCTCAAATTGGTGGAAATTTTGTTGCAATAAAGTGGATTTTATACCTTGGAATATTTCCATTTGCCTGAAATGTTCTCAAAAGTTCTTTAAAAACGTGTAAACTTCACATGCTGTGGCGGAGTGGGAAAAGCATAAGTTGACATGACCTGAAATTTCCTTAAACTTTGGATAAACTTTCGCAATTTAAAAAAATAAAAATAATAATAAATATCCACAATTACAGAACCGGAGCTCAGTTGAAGGTGTAAACGCAGAATTGATATTGGAGAGAAATTCACTTACTGGGAACTTCTGGGTGAGGACATCAGGAGGAGAGAGAGAGAGAGAGAGAGGACGGACGACTGTCGAACAGGTCTGAACATGTTAGTGTTACCTCAGAACTCAGTACAACTTACAAACAGTTCAGAGCACAGGAGATTCCAGTTTGCCCTCGATACCGAAATGTCACATCACTCCACCAAATCTTTAACCTTCGGCCACCAAGTCCCAATTTTTCTCTGAAATCTTTGGAGCCAGCTCTTCCTGTTAAATCTCTTGTAACTTCCAACAACAGAGACGAGCGAGCAATGCTCCTGTCGAGTCAAGTTTTTGGTTGAGCTTTTAAGCCTCTGCTGGTGATTACATGTAAGGCAGTGTGTGTGTGTGCTCCATGTGAGCCAGTTTAAAGCAGAATTCACTGTGTAGCTTGTGAGGAAGCAAATGATTAGTTAACGAGTTATGAGTGAGTTACTTCTAAGTCAATTTCCCACTCAGGTACAGGTTAAGTGTGTTGCTTCCTCCGTGTTCCTGCTTGGTTCCCAGGTTATTCCAAATGGTTAATTCCCCTACAACAACAACAACAAAGTTACATTTATATAGCGCCTTTCACGTTGGGAGGACGTCCCAAGGCGCTGACAGCGAAATCAATGGTGAATTCATTTAAAAATGAATAAAGTCATAACATAACATGTAGGAGCAGGATTAGACCATTCGGCCCTTCGAGCCTGCCCCGCCGTTCAATCATGGCTGATCTTCTCATCTAACTCCAGCTAATAACCTGACCCTGCCTTATCCCCATATCCCTTAATCCCTCTTGCAATAAGAAATCTATCCATCTCAGTCTTGAATATGTTCAAGGACTGAACGTCAACAGCCCTTTGGGGTAGTGAGTTCCATACATTCACTGCCCTTTGAGTGAAGAAGTTCTTCCTCAACTCAGTGTGAAAAGGTTGGCCTCTGATTTTACGGTTGTGACCCCTGGTTTTAGTTTCTCCAACCAGGGGAAACAATCTCCCACTATCTACTCTATCATGCCTTTTGATGATCTTATAGGTTTCTATAAGATCCCCTCTAATTCTTTAATACTCTAGAGAATATAGGCCCAAATTGGTCAGCCTATCCTCGTAACTCATCCCCTTCATCCCTGGCACTAACCCAGTAAATCTACACTGCACCCCCTCCAAGGCAAGTACATCCTTCCCTAAATAAGGAGACCAAAACTGCACACAGTATTCCAGGTGTGGTCTCACCAGGGCCCTATACAGTTGCAGCAAGACTTCCCTACTCTTATACTCTAATCCTTTCATAATGAACGCTAACATACCGTTCGCCTTCCTAATCGCTCGCTGCACCTGCAGACTAACTTTCTGTGATTGGTGTACAAGGACACCCCAAGTCCCTCTGGACACTAACACATTCCAATCTCTCCCCTTCTAAAAAATAACCCACTCTACTGTTTTTGCTACCGAGGTGGATGACTTCGCACTTCCCTACATTATACTTCATCTGCCATCTACCTGCCCAATCACCTAACCTATCTATGTTGCGCTGCATTTTTTTAATGTCGTCCTCTGTGTTGACACTTCCTCCTAGTTTTGTGTCATCCGCGAATTTAGTTATATTAGCTTCAATGTCCTCATCTAGATTGTTGATCTAGTCGTGCTCTGCCACTGTCAAGTGCTCTGGGATGTTATCCTGTGTGAGGGGCACTATATAAATGCAAGTTCTTTGGTTGAATTGGTGGTGAGGTAGAAGACTATTGGGAATTTTTTTCCCTATTGATTTTACTGCAAAGTATACTATTATTTCACATTGTGGAACATGAAATAATAACAATACAACAACAACAACAAGATTCCATTTATAACCCTTGCATTTGGTGATACAGCATCTTATCACACTGTTGAATCATCTGGAAGGACTTTGAAAGATTTTACTGCAAAGTATATTGACTGTGTGTTTGTAGGTGAACACAGGGCTGGCCCACAAACAGCCATGGAGCGAGTGATGAATTTTAACAGGGGGATTATTGACCAGGACACCGGAAGAAACTCCCTTCTCTATTTGAATTGTGCTGTATAATCTTTAATATCCACCTGAGCAGGTAGACAGGGCCATGGTTTAATGTCTCATCCAAAGGACAGCACTTCTGACAATGCAGCAATCTCTCTCTCTCCCCCCCCACCCCCAACACTGCGCTAGTCTCTGAGCCCAAAACCTCCTGACTCGGAGACAAAATTCCTGCCGACTGAACCAGGCTGACACAAAACACGGATAGTCTTTGTGGGATCAAAGCAAACTAAATCCCCAAAGGATGTGAGAACATGCGATTGCGATATATGGCAGGACAATCTTACAATTCTTGGGCAATAGGAATTCCGCAACACTTGAATTAGTACAATCCTGTGTTCTGCGTAACCTTTTACGAGACTTTTAATGCAATTTGTCGCTTTGTTTTTTTTATAGAAAAAAGCCTCTATACACGATCACCTTTAAATGGCAGAGAACCACATACCAAACAAAGCCTAGTGAAGCGAGCCTTGTGGTATTTAATTGGGTCACAAATATGCCTGCTGCTATCTCTGATAGGGATTCAGAACATTACAAGAAAGCAGTTCACTATTTTGTTCTAAGTTCCCTGAGAAGCCTTATTATTTTCCCAGTCACGAGAAATAGTTTTGGTCAAAGCAAAAATAGCCAGACTTCCCAGCACTTGGGAAGGAGGAGCAAACTTGCATCGTCCGATTTAATGTGTGAGGATTGAGTGTAAAAGCAGGAACTTTACGTGTCTTTTAGCTGCAATACTTGTCCATTTATTTATTTTCTTGTCATCTTGTGTATTATAGGTGAATAAAAGTGAACGCTCTCCACTACACGATAGGATCAAAGGTTAAGAAGAAAAATCCCCACTAATTTATACAATCACCATGACCACTCTCCACCCCTTGTTCATTTGATCTCACTACTGTAGTCTAATCACCGATCACTATGCTAATGGAGAGGTGGGCTGCGAGGGTGTGGGGTGGGGACATGAGTGTGTATGTGTGTGTGAGAGGGGAAGAGTTGAAGAAAAGGGGTTGTAGTGTGTGTGTGTGAGGGGGGTGGCTTGTGTGTTTGAGGGGTGGGAGAGAGTCAGAACATCAGCCCATTGACTAAAATCATTAATTAGCGAAACTCGTGATCACAAGTCATCTGAGTTGGGAATCTCAAGACATTCACTGTGCTGAAAGGTGGGCGAGATGAGAAAGCAGTTCAGTCAGTGGGTTTTTGTGCAAATGCGAGGAATTTCTTTCTAGTGTATCTGGTGGTGATGTAAACAGTTTTACGGCTGTTTGAGTTGTTGTCTCACACAGAGTGTAAAACACAGCCCTCAAAGCTTTGCGGTCTATGATGAATACAGCCACGCATTCGCAAACCAGGAGAAGGCAGATCGCAGTGGTCTGTTATGTGGGAGCGACTTGCCTGGTTCTGTGCGGGATCAGCTATCTCGCCTGTCAAACTGCATCCCTCAACCTGCAGAGGACAGACCGAGTGCGACGAGCCTTATCAACAGGTTGGTGTCTTGTTTGATTCCATTCTTTAACAGATAACACAGCTTGCTCTGCTGGTGGGGGGAAAAGGAAGGGGAAGAGAGAGAAACACACACACACACACCTCCATATAAACAGTGTTAGTTCAGCTTAATAGGCTGTTAGGCACGCCAATGTTGGGCAGTTTACTGTATTTACCCTCAAGCAAATTGTGACAGATCTGAGGATGGAAATCTCTCATGGTTTTGGCCTTGACACCCGCTGCCTTTAACATCGAAGATCGGGCAGAATTGTGGAAAATTCTTAAGTTCGATCTTAAATTGGAAGCCGCAGTTCTTGGAGAGATCCGTGTAAAAACTGGCATCGGAATTAAGACAGAATGGGTGATTATTATCTCGGGACACAGTATATAGTTTGGGACATGATACGTGGATGTGACTGCCAGGATGGTGGAAGGCGAACTGGATGGACCTTGGTCTTCTTTTGTCGAGCAATTCGTATGTTTTTATGTTCCCAAACTTCTGCACACCATTAAATTTTACGCAATGGACTTAAGACTGAAACCGTGTGAAATTTCAGACTTCAGATATAAACTTATTTTTACACATGTCCAGGTCCCAGTCTTGATCACATTTAATTTCCTTTCTCTCTCTTTTGCTTTAAGCAAACAACGGATCCAATTGCGTCCAGGCGCCCTCTTCCGAATTCCCCGGAGGATTTTTTACACAGGAGGAAAGAAAAGAGGGAGGGATAGTCATTCACATCATCATCACTCTCTACATGCTCATAGCTGTAGATATAGTTTGTGAAGATTACTTTATACCTTCCTTGGAAGTCATCAGCGAACGTAAGTGTGGAGGATTGTTTGAGACAAAACAATTTCACTGTTTTATAAACTTCGTACAGATGTTGTTAATAAGTTGCTGAACACTGACTGTGAGAAGAGATTTCAGGTAAATAAATAAATTGGCGATAGATGCCAAATTCTTTGAACAGTGTTTAGAACACCCTTTGGAACTCCATCCCACAGGCTCTTTGCTTTACTCCCTCCTTTGCCTTCTTCAAGGCACGATTCAAGACCCTCCTTTTTGTCCACACCTTCAGCTGCCTTCCTACCTCTCTGCCCTCCCTCATCCCAACCCTGCCCCCCCACCCTCGGGTCCTGATCCCCGTCTGTTCAGCGCCTTGGGACGTCCTCCCAGCATGAAAGGCGCTTTACAAATGTAATTTGGTTGTTGTTGTTACAAACATATATTTATACATAGTGAAAGCAAACGGTGTTACAAAATAACAACTTAAGCATTTCAATGATTTTACTTTACAGGATCCTTAATCTAGTATTATTATGATTTAAATTCATTCACTAATTAAAAAGAATGTAAACTACAGCCTGGTTTGGCAGGTAGGTCTTTCAGCTCTGAGTTGAAAGGTTGTGGGTTCAAGCCCCACGTCGGGACTTTGAACTCACTTAAGTCTAGGCTGACACTGCAACACAGTGCTGGGGTCTGCCGAATTGCTGGAGGTGCTGTCCTTCAACTGAGGCATTAAACCCAGATCCGATCTGCCTGTTCAGATGAACATTAAGGCACTACTCAAAAAAAGCGAGAAGAGAGTTTCTTTCTTGGCCAACAATCCTCCGGGTAAAATTGATTATTCACTTCATGGTTGTTAGCGGGACATTTCTGTGTGCAAATTGACTGCTGGATTTGCCTATAAAATACAGTCACTTTACAGTGAATCCTGATGTAAAAGGCACTGTATCAAATGCAAACATCAAATTATTATTAACTTGGGAGATTTCATTAGCATGTAATTGGTTGCTTATATTTTTATTTGTGTGGGACATCATGGGATCTTAAATGATAGCCTGTTGTAAATATCACAAATCACTTTCCACTGTTTTGCATTCCCACAGTTCTCACACAACATTATACAGAGGGATTCCAGATGAGTGTTACTGCTTGGAAATCTGAGGATATTTATATTTGCTGCTTGGTGTCTTCTGACTGAATTTCAATAAAATGTACCTGGTTGAGATCATCATTCAAATGTCTGCCTCTTTGCATTAGCATTTGCACGATCAGTGTCCTGATCAAGTTAACTCACCGTGCAATAGAACTGCAATGGGACTGTCTTACCCACTGAAGCTGAGAGAGAGAGACTGAGGTCTGAAGAAGAGTCTGAGAGACTGAGGGAAAGGCTGTGTTTATCGTTTCTCAGCAATCCAGGGATCTCGTGTTTTTTTTTCAGGCAAACTCATGATTTTTTTAATGATCATCTCGTGATTTTTTCCAGTTAAAAGCACTTTCGCATCAGATGTGTTCAGTCATTGTTTTTTTAAAAATGTGATATTGTGAAGCAGAAAAGACAGAGTCTGTACTATCCTCAAGGCATCCTGCAGTAAGTGCAATGGTGTCAAAGCAGCCTGTTCTCCATTCCCTCCCTGTAGCCTCTTTAGTTGGGTATTAAGAGGTAAACTAACCTTGGCTCTGTTGGGGTGAAGGCAATGCTTAGACTTTGAAAGCCTGGTTGCGTTCAGGAACCCGTGATTGGGGAAATCATGAGTCGGAACCTTTATTCTAGCACTAGATGGATAATTTTGAATCGAGACGTAATTGCACCCTACTTTCAAGCTCTCCTTGGAGCTGAACTGGCTCTTAAGGTACATGTTTGGCAACGGCATGTCGAAATGGATCCAGCCCTCTGTAGCGGTCTCTGTAGTCCAGTTCCTGAACCGGGCGAGTCCGCGGTATTCCAGGGCACTGCTGATGACAGCACAGCCAAATGGGCGTATCAACAGGACCTGGAAGAACAGACCAGTCACTGAGGGCAGGGAGTCATCTCACTCAGCTCCTGTTAACCCTGCAATCCCAAACCCTAATGGTAGGGTGGTCCCAGCTGGACAAGTAGCTGGTACTTTCAAATCATTCTCCTGCAATCAGTCTGCTTGGGTGCTTGCGTAAAATTGACTTTTTTTTTTGCATCAACAAACTCACGATAAATACTGTATAGCAAGGACTCGGGAGATAATGTTTTTTGCAATGTTTGCTGATAAGTTTGCTAACACAAGAAAATAAAAATCCCAGTACAGTTTCATGGTGGTTGCACTGAAATAGTGCTCATTAGCATGCAATAAAGTGATGCTCTTCGCATTGTATGTTTAGGTCTCGGTCTCTCGCAGGATATTGCTGGGGCAACGTTTATGGCAGCTGGAAGTTCTGCACCTGAGCTTGTCACGGTGTTTCTAGGTAACACGGTCTTATTTTGTATTATAGTATGGGTTTTGCCCACACAATATTATAGTCAACTCACTTTACATTATGTTCTGTGAAGCGCTTTGAGACGTCTCAATGACGTGACAAGGCGCTATATCAAATGCAAGGATTATTATTATTATTATTATTCTCCAATGTGCTTGTGTTAGGAAATACCTGGATACATTGTATTAAATGTAATGGGTGGAAGGGTGGAACTTTTCGATTGACGTTGCACCAATTCTTTCCGTTGCAAGCAAGAGACCGGAAATCTACATACGTACGTGTTCAGCTCTTGTGCAAATGCAACGTGTTAATACTGAATCGGGAATTTTTCTTCATATAATAACGCAAAATTGTGGGAGCGTTCTTTGGAAAAAATCCTTCCGAAACGAGACGTAAGAGACGAGAGAAAAAAAACACACTTTCAAATGGTAGGATGTTTTGGAACCAGTCGGCTAAAAACATCTAGGACTCTTTTGTAAAATCCTGAAACAGTTTCCAATACAAATGTTTGCTGATCTAACAGCATGAACTGGTAATTCTCCTGGTTTGTGCGGAGAGCGCTAAGTTTGTGAGAAAGCTTTAAAAATAAAGTGCGCTCTCCAAAAAAATAACCTCGAGTTTTACACACTGAAGTAACTGCATTTGACACATCAACAATGCTGCCGTTGCATATTTTGTGTTGATAGCAGTGGTCGGCAATAATTCACTCTGTTTCTCTTTGTGTGTTTGTAGGAGTCTTTGTGACAAAGGGAGACATAGGAGTCAGTACGATTGTTGGCTCTGCTGTTTACAACTTGCTTGGGATCTCTGCGGCCTGTGGGTTATTAACAACCACGGTATGTAAACTCAAGTCTCAGTGGTGACGGATTTCGAGTTAGCAGTTTGGGTTTGGATTCCTGGGATCAGATTTTGCACCCATTTTCTGTCATACCTCCCAGTTGCTGGATCTTTCTTGGTGGGTATAGATTCTAGCTGTGCCTCGAAACTATCTCCATTTATTCAAGTGTTAAAGAGGCATTTGATACTGGTTTTATAATTATTATTTTTAAATTTTTATTTTAGTAAAAATCTGTTTTATAAATTCCTCCTTTACAATTAAAGTGTTGTATAAATGCCGCTGCGTAATGGAAGAGTCCTGTCCTCTCAGGGCTGAAATGATGGTTTTGTCCTTGCGGAAAAAGAATGTTAACTTTTGCAATAATGTAATGTGTTAACTTTTCCAGGTTTCCACATTAAAATGCTGGCCATTATTCAGAGACTGCGCAGCTTATGCTATCAGCATTGCGGCACTTATTGCTATTATTTTTGACAACATGATTTACTGGTAAGAATCCTAGACCCACCATGAAATATTGTAAAGAACGTTTATGTATCGTAATGCTATTCCTAATGTGTAGTAAACAAAGGTTAAGATTACACCGCAATCCTCACCTCTCTTACCTTACACAAAACATAGCTCCATCAATGAATATAAGGGGAACGAATCTAAAGAACTACGCTACTATGCTAATATACTATCCTGTCCTAAAATGTTACAACAGAAAACGGGTGAAAAAAAATCACACTTACCTGAGAATGAACACAGTATCCCTCACTATCATTTCTGTAGAGTTCAAGCCATGCTGTTTTTTTTATATGCAATGCACTGACCCTCCACCTGAGTAAACTTGATGATCGGAATACAAGAATTATTAGTCAATCCTATTTCAGTGTTGACTTGTTTTATTTTAGGTACGAGTCTGCCTCTTTACTGTTGATCTACGCGGTCTACATTCTGGTCTTGTGTTTTGACCTTCAAATAAGCCAGTATGTAGTGTGGAAGCTCAGCCCATGCTCTACCTGCTTGGTCCAATCCATGGAAGAACACAGTGAGCACCAGCCACTAATCGGTTGGAAAGACAAAAATGGCCCATTGGTCCATCGACGTTCTCGGTCAGACAGTGGTATCTTTCAGGAAGACTCAGACTATTCCCAGCTCTCTCTTAGTTTACATGGACTCTCAGAGATGACCGAAGGTAATATTAGTTCTATTTATTTTCGCAGAACAGAATGTGGGGGGAAGGGGAGAGGTATTGATTGTTCTAATGTATTTAGCAATATCTAGTGTTCATCAAGGGATGTTAGCACTGGGAAATCTACCACTGGTAGCTATGCTAACACTGCCCACTAACAAAAACTTGCAATTATATAGCGCCCTTCACTCCGGACAGTGTCTTGGAGCGCTTACTAACGATGATCTCATATTTGACAGATAATTTAATACAATAACACTAAAACTGTCTAATGGTAGCCGATTTAATGCTTTGGAGTTGCACGATTTGTATCACTTTCTTTCTGTAACAGATCAACCAAGCGTTTTCTCAATGCCTGAAGCAGACCTGAAGCGAATACTGTGGGTATTATCTCTTCCTATCACTGCGTTGCTATTCATAACCACGCCAGATTGTCGGAGGCAGAAGTGGAGAAGTTGGTTCATGCTTACGTTTTTCATGTGTGCTGTGTGGATTTCTGGATTTACATACGTGTTAGTTTGGATGGTAACCATAGTTGGTAAGAACCATTCAAAAATTATATGTGCACCTTCAAAATCACAATAGTTTTCTACTATCGTTTTCTCCAATGTAAAATCCAACCTCATCATTGCAGTACCCTTACTTCTTCAAAGTAAAGTGTGTTTGCAAGTAGCAAGAATCTGGTGCATAAATTGTACGTTCACAGCTTACTTCCTGGACTTTTGCATTCGGTGTTTAATTTGATCAGTGTTAAGCAGCTGGTCCTCGCTGAGTAAGATCATCCTTGGCATCAATAGGGTTAAACTTTAGGACACTTGTGTCTTTCGAGGTGTATCATAAGGAATGTTTGGCTCTGAGGGGAGCTGGAAGCACATTGGGAGTTTGGTATGGCATGTGATACCATGTGAAAGCATGTGATATCAACTAACTACACGCTGAAAATGAGATTATTGTGCATGGTCAGTGAAACAGGATTACACATCAGCCTCATCAAGTACAATTGACTTGTTACATAAATTAATTGCCAATAACGTAATTGCTGTATGAAAGTATCCTGTGGTCTCTTAAATGCTAAGCGTCTCTTGATAGAACTGTATGTTTAGCATTCTTAAATTAATTCAAAGGCTTTTTAATATCTCGGGTTATTAAATTGCATTTGCAGCGGTGCAGGGTCATTAAAATAATTTCCTTCAGCATATCCTCTTACGAGACTTTTTGACTGTAACACAGGAGAAACCTTGGGCATTCCTGATGCAGTGATGGGCCTTACCCTGTTGGCAGCGGGAACCAGTATACCAGACACCATTGCCAGTGTACTTGTTGCCAGAGAAGGTACCACATTATACAATATTTAGTTATGTGCAAAATGTGTGCTTGTGAGATGTCCTCCCGCCGTGAAAGATGCTACAGAAATATAAATGGCATCTACTGATCTACTAACATAATAATTGCATTTAATATAGCACCTTGTCTTGTTGCGACGTATCAAACCACTTCACACAATATACTGTAGTGAATTGACTATGTGTGAAATGCATGCTCTAAATTGCAGATACAGTAAATGCTTTGATAGCATTGTAATTAATACACAATTTATTTTCCAGGAAAGGGAGATATGGCCATGTCAAATGCTGTAGGATCCAACGTATTTGATATGCTTTGTCTGGGTTTACCCTGGTTTATTCAGACTGTATTTGTTGACACAACAGCCCCAGCAGAAGTGATCAGCAGCAGCTTGACATACACAACTACTTCTCTTCTACTTTCTATTCTTTTCATATTTGTGGCTATTCATATTAATGGTTGGAAACTGGATAAGAAATTAGGTGCAATATGTCTTGTGGTTTATTTGATTTTTCTTACTTTCTCAATTTTAAGTGAACTAGGAATTCTAGGTAAGGTTTCATCCAGGATTTGCAATTAACCAACTACAGAAATCATGTCATTTAAGGTGAGGTGTGAAACCAAAAATGAACAGTTTAGTTAGAATATTTTCAGAACAAACATCAATTTGGGCAAAAGATTTTTTTTAAAAATGGACACTAGAATTTATGAGAAAGAGCTACATCAACTAGACTCACACCATCGTTGTGGTACTCCAAGGCAGTCTCTTCCCCTTACACTCAAACTCACTTGGGTCTTAAATTCTAAGTGATGGTGCTAAAGTGGTGCTAAATGGGGAGTATTAAACTGCACCTTAATGGAGTGGGAGAATTGAAATGAAGGTAAAGAACACAGTATTAAAGATAGAAGCCAAATACTTCCTAATATCGACCATAATTCCAAAGGTTCCCATTATTGCTACCCACAACAAATTTGACTGTGAATTTATAATGGTGCACAACTGCCAGAGTCTGTTAAAATTCTGGTTGGCTTCAACCACAACACATTGTGCCACTGTTGGCTGCTAATTAACTGGAATTTCCTACTAAATCTTTGCACTTAACATCATTTGGATATCATCACCACCGTGTCTGTGCTGTATTTTCCATTCAAGATCTGTAACTGCAAACTTTTAAAAAGGTACTGTATTGTGTAAGCTTAACAAAATGTGCACTTATTTAAAATATATTAAAACCACTATCCAACCCAAAGAACTATGATGTCAATTAAAGTAAACTCAAACCTAAGAACGCAGAGTATTTTCTTCTGAAGTGTTCACCTACACATTTAAATGAGGTTGTACTAAATTAGAATGTACATCAGTAAAAGTAAGATTTACATATATTTGTTTATTTTTGCTCCCTTTCCCCCTTGGAAAGAATCTGTTGTGAACCTGAACTTTGGGAGAAAGAGAGGGCAGGTGCAGAAAGGTGGCTGACAGTATGGTGAAATAGATTGACCTTAAGGAACCATTTAATTAGTCTTAAACAGGAACAATTATCTCCCAAAACAAATATATTTAAGGCCTATCAGTTAAGTCGATCAGGGTGATAGCACTGCAATTAGTCCAGTAATTTTCCTACCCATTAATTTTAAGTGGTTATAGAAAAACCTACTAAATGGCAAATAAAGTTGATGTTTTTTTAACAAAAGAAAAAGCATGGCAAAAATTCGACAACATTTTATTAAAAAACGTTTATCCATTCAAACAGAACAATGACCACTAAGGTGTTGTCTGAAATACTATAAAAAAAATCTGACATTTTGATAACAGAAATTACATAACCATACACAAACTATCTCCATATCCAATTACAAAGGCTGGTGGTCCTTGAAATTACATTAGAGCTCACACAATAGGTAAGCTACACTAAGCTGTGGGAAATCAGTTTGGTAAAAATGAAAAGCAGAATCAAGCTAATCAGACATGCTGTATATTACTGTACATCACTGACTTTAATTTACGCATTGCGATCCAAGCGCACATCTATCTCTCGCCCAGTGATCTTGGTGCCGTTCATCAATCTGCAGGCTTTCTCTGCTGCTTCTGGGGTGTCAAAGAGCACCGTTCCACAACCCTTGGACATGCCGTTTTCCATTTTTATTTCAGCAAACATTACGTGGCCTGTCGGATAACAGATCCAAAGATTAAGTTTGTCACATTACAAGTCAGAAGTTTAGGTAAAGGGATTAGATTGATTGAACACTCACCACATTGGCTGAACTTTTCCTTTAGCTTCTGCCATGGTAGATCATATGGAAGCTGAAAACAACAGTATTTGTAATTAGTATTGTGGTGAATTACTCCTGGGTAAAATTTTCCAACAAATTGATACTTACATTTCTTGCAAAAATTTGGCAGCCCCGAAAGCCACTTCCACGTTCTCTCAATCCGCTTCCCATTGAACCGGTGTTTAAATTTCCAAATCCACGATCCATATCCATATTCCTGTCGAGACCAACTCCCATTCCCGATCCCATTCGGTCAAGGTTGGAACCCATGCGATCCATACCCATTCCCATGACTCCTCCCATGCTATTCATACCAGCCATCCCACCACCTGTCAGACACAAAACAGGGCTGCCATTCACCTTTTAAACACGGTAGCATTTCAAACCTAAAAGCTTATTTCTGGATCTTCAGATATGAATCAATATTGCATTCAATCGTGCTTGTATCCTTCCAGTAAAGGCACTAATAATAAATAATAACCTCATGCAAATATCCTAGAGGAAGTTTAAAGATAACAATGTGAAATTAAGTTGGATTAGACAGTATGAAATTGATGCGGTGGTTGGGAAGAGGAAAGGGGAAAAAGTAGAGGGAGCATTACTTAGCTACTCTTGCTGTTTTATGCTCAAATCCCACTGGAAATGGATAACACCAATGTTGACAAAAGCAATTGCCAATTTATAAACATAAGTGTAACAAAAAATGGATACACATTGAGGTGGGTAACCTACCCATTCCTGATCCTATCGGGCCCATGCTAGTTGTTGCCATTCCACCGCCAAGGTTTCCTCCAAGACCTCCACCCATTCCACCTCCTAACCGGGAAGAAAAAGCATATTATTTTCTAAATACATACTTAATGAAATTCACACGCCCAACAGAATTTTGCAAGTTAGCAATTTGGTTGTCAAAAACAAAATGCAAGTAGTATGGTATGTTTACATACAGGGGAATTGTTGCCCTTATTCTTTTAAAACGGGTGCAACTAAACGTCTCTTAAAACAAACTTCACCGGGCAAGTTAAGAGTGTCTAACAAGATTACAGAATATCAGAGATGTTCCCTTACCCATTCCTCCAAATGACTCTCCAAAACCCCGGTTCATTCCCATGTCATTTCTACCGAAATCCCGATCAAAGCTGCCACCCATGGCACCAGACCCCATTCCTGGGCGGTACATATCTACAATGATAAAGGGCAACATTCCTTGAATAGCTGAAGCTTTAAACCAAACAACGTAGCTGGTAAGATATTAGGTAAGATATTAGGTAAGATATTAGGTGAGGGTTATGGGGAAATGTTACATTTGTAGCATAAACAAGAACCTTTGAGTTTCTTTTACTAGGGTAGAAATACAAATATTATGTAGAAAATGCTATGCTAATCTTGTCAATGTTATGAAGGCTAACGGAATTACTGAATACCACTAACGTTGTGGCTTGGAAATCAAGGTTGACCAGCCCTACCCTTTACAATTATTGCCATGAGATACACATTTGACATTCAGTTACAAATAAAACCTTGACTTAACACTACCACTAAGAGGGCATTCAAGTATACAAATTAGCATTGAAATCATTTGAAATTACAACTTCAGAATTTAAGACATTTGAAAATGTAACCTTAATACTTATTTATGAATTAATAACTAATCCACTAATTAAAAATTATGAACTTACCTCCCATGTTGCTTCCCATGCCACCCACACTGCTGCCTGTTGCTCCAAATCCACTCATGTTGCTACCCATTCCTCCCATATTTCCACCCATGTTTCCCATTCCTCCAGCTAGGTTTCCTCTAAAATCATCAATAGGACCCATACCTACAATGATAAATGAAAGTAATCAAAATAAAAACAATCCTTGCATTTGATATAGCGCCATATGGCATTAAGAAGTCTCATAGCACTTCATAGGAACGACTGTAAAGTGTAGCATGTGTATTTTGTAAGTGAATGCAGCAGCCAATTTGCTCAAAGCAATATCCCACAAAACAGTAATGAATTGAATATCAATTTTAATTTACCAATAAACAAGTGTTAAAAACTGTTAGTTTACCTCCCATTCGGCCCATGTTTCCTATGCCGCTCATGCTGCCACCACCGTAGCCTCCCATGTTATTCATGGCATCCATGCCACTGCCAAAGCCACTGGGACCGCTCATTCCTGAGAGAAGAAGAAAACCCGCATTAGAAATAAAGTTCACAATTTGATACTTAGATATTGTTCAGCAGAGATATTGAACTTACCTCCTCCACCCATTCTATTCATTCCTCCAAAGACTGGCCCATCCATTCCAATCCCTGGGACAAATAAATGCAGTGATTCAGCATCAACAATACATTTGTATAGCGCCTTTAATGTCGGGAGGACGTCCCAAGGTGCTGTATGTACTTAGAACATGTCCTCCATTAAATTACATAAAAAATATTTTATACCACAGTAATAATCTTTGCATTTGATATAGCACTTTTCAAGTCTTCTAGATATCTCAAAGCACTTCACAAATCTTTTTTAAAAAGCCTGCACCTAATATTGCTTGCCACATTTCTAGAGCTAAATACCTAAAATCAGACACCTCATTCAGAATCTTATTAAAAAACACATTTAGAATGTCGTACCTCCAGATCCCATGTTTCCCATTCCACTATTCATTTGGTTCGCAGCTATTGGTTGGCCACCAGGTCCAAGTCCCATTCCAATACCTGCAAGTCCACCTGAAATTAACCAAAATACAAGTTAGTAAAAGCCTTTGAATGTTACTTTTATTTACATTCTAAACTATTTAATTATAAATATTTATTGTTACCATATAAAACCATACTAAATCATGTCTAGCATACTTACGAGGCAATTGTTGCGACTTGCTCTCCAAAACTCGGTAATCATCATGTGGAACAGATTTATCATCCTTTAATGGGGGGGGGGGGGGAAAGAGAGAGAAAAAAAGCTGTTGGCAGAACAAAGCAATTGTCAAATTTTACCAGATCAGCTTTGCTACAAAGAAATCAAAAACTTACCATCTTCACATGCATTGGCCTGTCAAACAAAAGCTGCCCATTGAACATTGCTGTAAACAAGTTAAGAAAAATTCAACAAGATGGGTAAAATTTCAGTCCACGTGATAGGTAGCCCATTGAAGGCTGGTTTTGCTCTAGAATCAACTCTAACTAGCAGTTATTTTGATTGAGGAAAAAAAAAATGAAAACTACCAAAAATCTTGTCATCCCTGGAAGCAATTTAAAAATTTCCTTAAATAAACAGTTTTTCACTGTTGTGCAGCAATATACAGTTTCTATTTCAAAAGAATTACATGTTTTGTAGCCATTAAGATAATTTGCGTCCTGTAATTAGAGGTAAAAAGATACAGATAGCTTGAACTGCTTCAATGGACTGGTCAAAAGTCACTGTTCCTATTCCACGGCTCTTGCCATCTTTATCTTCTTTGATATCTGCACGCTTTACTACTCCAGCCATGCAGAAAACCTCTTTCAGCTTCTTCCAACCAACTTTGAAGTCCAGCTGAAATAAGAGTTTCACAGAATAACACAATTTTCTTTCAATTTTTTGATGGAAAAAAAAACAAGCAGAAAGGGGGGAGGGGAGAAAAGACTTACATTGGCAACAAACACGGTTGTCCCAAGTCTGCCACCTTGTAGAGCAGTGATGACCTCCGATGGGATATTTGGGTTATTGACTATATTTGGTGGCAAATTGACAATTGGAGAACCCATATCTAGCCCCAGAACACCAGGGTATGAACCACGTTGCATAGCCCTGCGTGCATGTTCTCCATCAGGATCCTACAATATAAAAATGTTCTTAATCAAAAGCTACAATGAAAAGATTGCACATAGTTTAATTATTCTGGTTCAATTTTGAGACTTAACATATCAATTTTAGAGTAATCCAGCTCCCTGTATACAACAGTCTACAAAGCTAAGCGAGATCCAATCTCACTTGTGCTGTTAACTGATAACACCTGAGGTGGCAGTGGTGCACTACAATGGGCTCTTTTGTTTCAGGGAAACACCTTAGCAAACGAGGGCCCGGTTTTCAAGTGATCTTTACCCAAAGTGGATATGTTGCATATCAGGTGAGAACCAGTCTCAACTGTCATGTCACCTGTAATCATTGATGTAGCTTCACCTTAGCACGAGTCAACACCTTCAAAAGAGGGGAGGGGGCATAAGTGCTCTGAAACATTTCAACATGGAGGGCTCTGAATAATTGCAAGGTGTTGTTAACCATGGCAATCAATTAATCAGATATCATCACAATCACCAAATAATTTCTAAACCAAACATGAAGCTGAAAGTCAGAGGTGATTTTATATACCAGGCAACACACAAGTGATTAAAAATTGTTTATGCCCAGTCCTGTGCCTAAAGAAGCCAAGATACTGGGAAAAGCTACCTTCTCAGGTACTTGACCAACAGTACAATATAACTTAATGGTAAGACTGCAAGGGATGTTCCAAAACAGTAAATGCAACTGTGCAATCAGAAAGTAGCAGCTTTGAATGTTTGAGGGATTTGTGCTAGGAACTAATACAATAACTAATCTGTACAAAGTGCAATTCCAGAAGCTTCCCTTTATTAAGGGACAGATAAATCAATCACTACCCACCTCCTTTATGGTAAGTGGTCTTCCACTAAGATCAAACTTATTCATAATATCCATAGCTTTGTTGACAAAGTCTTCAGTTTTGAATTCCACAACACTGAAAAAGGTTTTAAAGAGAGAATGCGACATAATTTAAACACAACTTTAAACCTGAATTACTCTCACAAATTATCAATGACAAATAGATTAGAATCGAGTGCCCTCCCCCCACGAACCAATGAATTGGATATGAGCCGATGAAAATAAAATACAAGTTTATTCTCCCCCATTGACTTTGAACACTGTACTACAGAGCACCCCTCCCACACGCTACATTAAACTTATTTCAACAAAAATGCTGTTATATACAAATCAATCCTTGTGAATGCACTGTAATTAGGAATCCTTAATTTAATTATTGTAAAATATCAAGACAATTATTGTCATCTGCAGTGTTTCAGAATATTCCAGAAACATTTGGGAGCATCTTATTCAATTCCGTTCTAAAGCCTAATTCACACATTACAAGTAAGCTGCAATGTTAATAATTTATATGTGACACTAAAATGACAAAGAGTTACTTACCCACATCCCTAAAGCCACAGATGACAGCCAATGGAGGGGAAGAAAATAAAACAGAACACAGTTATTTCACAAGCTTCAAGTCTAAATATTACTACAGCATGGAACAATAAAGTTCACGTAAATATGGACATTTTTGCATATAACAAGCCCTTGATGCAGCTACCTCCTGTATTTTACAGTTACTTTTCCATGAAAGCAAGCAATACAATAGTTACAACTTGTTTACAGTAACACCAGTCCAAACAAGAACTTGGAAATATCCACTCAAACTGCAGTTAACCCTTTCTTAATACCAGACAACACAACCAAACTCCAGCCTACTGCAGAGTTGGCAATGAATACAAAAGCAACCTAGCTAACAAACACCTTAATTGTTACCTGTGCAAAACAATAAGTAAAAAATAAAACTGCTGAGGACCTTATGAACCCCCAAGCAGAATTGTCCCACTTACCCTTGACTTTCCTTCAGCATCCTTAAAGAGTTCCACGTATGTTACCTCACCAACTACATGATATACAGAGGGGAGATACCAAAAACAATGCATTTAAAAGACCACACACTTACTTCACTGATGTCCCTTACACAACCAAATGCAAGGATTATAACTCTACAGAGGAACAAACCATTATTCACCAACAATCAACACCAGACCAGTACACCTCCTAATAAAATTACAATACAATTTTTAAAAAAGTCAAAAATCAACATTGTTCCAAAGATTTGTCACTTGTATCATCCAAATCAGATCCAGACAACATTTACCATCATATAGCAGCTAGTTATCAAATTTGGCCTGTATGATATAGTTGGTGAACAAATAAAACATTGTTTACTACCGGTTAACAATCCGACATTACTAAATCAAATCATATTTTCCATCTATGCCAACTGTGTGGCAATCAAAATACTGTACACTGTTTTAAGGTGACCAAGATTACACCCCTAAATGTGTAGTCACAAATACATAACACAGCAATGAAAATGCTTATGGCACAACACACAAAAGCAATAATTCTGCCAGATCATGGCATAAAAATCTAAATCCAAATCCAAGACATTGAGCTTCACAATTAAACTTTGAGTCACCTTACAACAGATGCAGGAAACAAAAGTAACAAGTATTGAGCTTAATACAAAATCATTTTAAACTCGTTGATTGGCAATTGTGAAATAACAGTCAGAAAAAAAACTGTACTTGGAACCAAAGTCCAACTTACTTAAAAAAGCGACGAAGGAAAAACTTTCAGTTTTCTATAACTTGAAAAGGGTCAGCAATTTCTCTTCTAAAAACAATTTCCTTAAACAATAAAACCTTACAAAGCCATTTGATCCATTAGAATTTTTTTTAACTCTATACATTTTGGAATTGCAAAATTACAATGCACAAGGATGAGATACCACTTCCATCATCATCTATCCAAAGGCCTGAACAAAACCCGCCATTATTCAATTGGCTGCAAAAACAGAACAAATCCTTATTAGGAAGACCATTAGATTATTTTTATACTGGCTCATGAATGCCTACATCAAGCACTACATTTGTCAGTCTCAAATCTATTTTGGTCATTATTTACCTATTTGTATGCAATATCATACATTACATTGAAAGGATTTTGAAAATATGTCTGAAGTTTCAATTCTATGTTCATAAATAACAATTATGTGTTCCAAGAAAATTTATGAAACACTTGGAATCATATATGATTTCCCTGCATAGCTGCATTATTCGGTTGTTTTCTGAACTTACAATTACCTACCATAGGTGTAATCTTCAATCCTGGGGCACAGTTCAACTCCACATACAAATCCCTTTCATTTTTCAAGGGAAAATACTGATTGTCTAGGGGAAAATATTGATTGTCCAGTGCCTTGGGACGTCCTCCCAATGTGAAAGGCGCTATACAAATGTAATTTTGTTATTGAAAACACCAGGACATCCTTTTAAGGACAATGTATCAGGCTTTTATCAAGTGTTCTTCCCAAGAGCTGTACGAAACACCTCAATGTGTGGTACATTTTCAACTGTTGTTCTGGAAGCAGTAATGTCAAGTGTTGAATAAGGACGTGCAGTTAATGAAATGATTGCAAAATGCATTAGGTCAGAAAGAAGTGAAGGATTAGGAGAGGAAGGTTTTGCACATGAAGCTAAATTATACTAAACAAAAGATTACAACCATGATTGCTAACCTCAACTTACTTTCTCACTTGTCCTCCCGATATGAAAGATGCTATACAAATGTAATTTTGTTGTTGGTGAAATCCACACACAATTGATCTATAACCAGGGAATGCAATTTCTGCAGATATGGTCCAAAGAACTGAAGTATGATCAGCTTGAATCATTCCATCAAGTCAGATCAATATTTAAAACCATACATAATGCTCTTGGTAGATGGCTCTCACACAAGCACGTGTCTCTGCATTAGTGTAAAGTGTCTCATAAAAGTGCCAAAAAAGAGATAAAATGTGTTTGAGGTGTTGGAACAGCAGCAGATATAAAATGCCTACTTCAATAAAAATAGTTTAGAAATAGGTGTAGAAATGTATTGCACCTATAGGAATGAAATACATCGAAATGGGAAATAAGTTTACATGCAAAGAAGGTTAAATGTCTGTGGTTGTCAAAGTGACCTTTTTCAACAATGACTTTGGCACGGTAATTTATGAGATAAATGATTCAAAATGTATATCTTTCAGATAAGATAAGACCACATCCGTTGTTTTCCACCAAGAATGAAGCTCACTGATTTTGGTTAGAAACAAGTCCAAGTTTTAGTTATCAGTAAGTGATTTGGAGCACAAAACCCTTTCAGCATTAAATTTGGGCTTCATATCAATGTTAATTATACAACAAATGACACTTGTGTAGTGCCCTTCATGTCGGAAAGACATCTCAGGGCACTGGACAGTCAGGGGGTTTTGGACTCAAGCTGGGAGTTGGGGTCAGGAGGAATGGCGGGCAGGGGGTGTAGGGGTGGGAGGGTGGCCAAAGGGGCGATCAAAGAGGAATGTCTTTAAATGGGACTTGAAGGAGGCAAGAGAGGGAGTGAGGCGGAGGGATTACGGGATAGAGTTCAAGAGTGCGGGGACAGAGATATTGAATGCCCGACCACCAATGGTGGGGAAGGAAGTGCAGGGGACCTGAATCGGGCCGGTGTCCACCAGGTGGAGTCAGCAGACAAGCTGATATGGGGTTAGGAAGTTGGAGAGGTATGGGGAGCAAGACCGTGGAGTGCTTTGAAGGTGAGAATGACGGTTTTACTCGATTCTCTGAGGGATGGGGAGCCAATGGAGCCAGGAAAGAACGGGGATGATTGGTCCATATATCTTAAGAACAGAGTTTATAAAGTAAACTTGAAATAAACCAGGCTTAAAAAAACGACATGAATTTGGTAAAGACAATTGCCTGGGGTAATGAATTAGCCTACAGTTTAAAATTCCATCTTAACCTAGACCACTGATCTCAAAGCAGTGTGCTAAAATGACCAGCACAGCAACATCAGTATGCAACTAGTTGGCTGGAATATCTGTTTTAAAACAGTGGACAAAACTAGCAACCAGTCCTATTTGTATTTGAAAGCTTTCTAATTGTAGATATTGGATAATGCCAGTGCTCCACCACTAAAAATGGACACACCATTTGAAATTTATGTAACACCATCAATGAGTGAAAGATCATCTGTTCCTTTATGTGTTGAGGTTTACTGGATAATAAGTGGCGTGTTTTCCTTAACTAGTAAGACCAGAGAAATAATATCCTACCTGGGTCTTGTGATAATACTGGAGAAAAGTATCTAACACTATATGACAGGTTATTCATGCAGCAGGGGTTAACCCATGTTAAGCATATCCAATACTATTAGAAATTCAAGGGCAGTTGGTGTCAATCAGATGTTGCAGCTACGCCCACATAATTTGAGTCCATCCAAGAGAATATTTCTACCAGCAGAAAGAGCACATCTATATCTCCCAAACATTATTCATGGTATGAAACTTTTTAAAGGGACATGGTGTTCATGGTGTTTCTCCTTCCCTCACAGGATAACAATTGTTTGTATGCAGAGTTGAACAAATACTGTAATTCTTTTAGCACAAAATATTGCCAAAATTTCAAACAAGCTAACAGAACTTGTTTTGCCATCTACTCATTTCATGTAGGACAACATAAATATACATTTTAAAGCTCAGTTACAAGTTTGAAGAGTGTAGTCATCAGACTGCATTTTAAAAAAAGTTGCTGTATAGAAGGAACCATTTGTTTTTTGCCTTTTCAATTCTATCAAGCTTTTCAATTTTTGCGTTTCATTAGAAATTCTGGGTTTACGTTTGCTTACCAGTGACCAAATTTTTTTGTTTTGAAAATGACAAAAACTACAAGAATTTGAATTTTAGATATCTGGAAAGCAGTTAAAGGCTGCTTTCATCAGGTTACCTTTTTCTCGCATAAGGTCTTTAATTGCTTGCCACTTCATGTCATACGGAATGTTGCTAATAAAAACTCGGTTACGATTATAGCCCTTCTTGTCTCCATTCGCAGTCTTTTCTTTTGAGTATGGATGAAATCTATTAGATTTCTTGATTCCTATGGACTTTTCCTTCAGACTTGAAGTCTCCTCTTTTGAAGACTCATCCTCTTCACTATACATTAAAGAAAAATACATTAATTAGCCTTCAGATGCTACTAATCATTCACCCCAAAACTCTCATGAAGCAAAATAGATTGCCACAAAACTCACAAAACAGAAGATTCTCAGAATAAAGCCGAGTTATCTAACTCCAGCACATTATTTATGCAATTTTTTCACAAATCACAATTTTAAATGGCACACTACTAAATGATGCAAAGCACTTTATACTATACAGCAATGTTACCAAAATGAAGACAGAAATGTTGGAATCAAACAAAAAAATAGAATTTGCTAAAAATGCAAACAGATCAATCAGTATCTTTAGTCATATAAGCAAAATTTACCCCCCCTCCAACAATCCAAGGCAAACTGGCAATGAGGAGAAAATAAAGTGCATAAACGTACAACATCTAGCAGAAAAATTCAGCAGTATTTTCTACTTCACTATTAATATTTAATATCACTATAAAATGTATTCCCTCCTTTGTATTGCAGTAACAGCTCAAGCATTTGCTCAAGTTTGTCTATGAAGCTCAGATGGAAAATTAGACAATTTAGTAGTACATTAAATCGACTGAGAAAACGTCATTGCAATTCCTTCTCCCATACACCCAAGCAGACACATTTTGCTCATAAATGTAGATTGACTTTACTTTGGCAAACAAAGACAAATTAGATGTCCACTTAAATATAATGACTTCGAATCCATAAATCTTTTCCAATCAGTCTCAATCATACAATCAAGTACTTTTTTTAAAAAAAAATGAAGGATTTAGCAATTTAAATGCACATAAAGGAAATGACTACACCTTAATCCTAAACTTTACCAACAAACTATTCAATCTTCCCAGCATTCGTCTGAATTAATTGCAGCTTTGCAACTTAACACCACATAACATTGCTTGAATATTAAAACAGTATGATTACAAATACAAACATGATCAAAAACTAGCAATTCATTAAGAAACTCACATCAGACACAATGGGTATACAGAATCGAGCTTCAGCAAAATGAAGCCATTCAGATCACCATGCAATACTATAACCCTATTTCCGTTTCTTTTCCAGTTTTACATTTTTATTGTAAACTATTTATGCAATTTCCTTTAGATGTCACAATATGCTAATAACGAAACATTTTCCATACTAGCTTCATAGACTGGCTTTCCTCATTGCAATCCACAAAACGTTGCACCTGTTACAATAACCATGCAATAGCTGAGATTTAAATATATTTATAAGCCCCGAGCCATAAATCAACACACAAGACCCATCGGTCTTGTATTCACCACTCCAAACTTGAAGGTCTTGATGCTGTAACTCACACGAGAGGCCATTTTCACGTGCAAGACCGAACACTTATCAACGGGCCATTTCATCACGGAGCTCATAATCGCTGAAGCCCTCATCTAACATCCACATGAAGTGCACTTTCCTTCGGGGAGGGTGTCGATGAATAATCAGGGTTGGAAATCCCATCTTAGTTTCCTTTACCAGGGCCCCCCCCCCCCCCAAGCGCAGTCTGGTTGGAATTGTAGTACCCAAACCGAGATGATCTCAATCGGGGGGTGTGTGTGTGTGTGCAGCGTAATAAGGGAAAGCTTCGCTCCAAGCAGTGCAGTGCAGTGTGTGCGCCCGAACTCCGGGGCAAAGCAAACGTTTCACTTCCACTTCAAAAAAAACACACACACACACACCACCACCAGAAACTCGCGAGCAAAGCCTTTTGAAACGGTCGAAAGAAAAAAGCGGCCATCTCCTGTCCGGGCTTCCTCGCTTAAATGGCCGTCAGGCGATGTTTGAGGGCCCGGCGGGAAAACAAAGGGACCTTCCCGGAGAATTCACAAAGGGCCGGAGGAGCCCCCAAGAGCCTTTGTATCTTCTTGTTACCTCCCAAGGATAGTCAGAAATTGCATCATAAGGAGAAGGAGGAGGAGGAGGGGCGGTCGACCGACTGAAAACAACAAATCCCAACCCCACACACCGACGAAATTTCAACCTACCATTTTGATGTGGGGAAGAAAATGGGGGGTACGGAGCGGGGTGGGGTGGGGGGGGGGGGGGAGAAATATTGGCAGTTGAAGCCGCTCAATTAGGGTTGGCGGGCGGGTGTGTGGGGGAGGAGGAGGAGGAGGCGGCGGCTGAAGAAGGCGCAATCCAAACACGGCAACCAAGTGATTTCTACACACGTGGAGGAATTTAAAAATGCGACGAGTGAGGAGCGAGGCGAACCCTCTCCAGGCGCGGGGAGAGAGAGGGGGGAGAGAGAGAGAGAGAGAAAGAAAGGCCTCTCTCCCTCCCTCCCTCCCTCAGCTGCGGCCTACCGCCACAGGCCACCCTCGCGCACATTACGCAACGGCACAGGAGAGGGACATTTCCTCTCTCCCCCTCCCCCACCCCCTCACACACACATACACACCACACACACACACACATTAAAACACAAAGGTCGGGTTTCATTACATTTTCAAGTGAGCCTCGTTTCCTTCCCCTTTAAGGTTTTCAACGGCTTCCACCTGTTGCTGCTCGTCGCTGAGCTCGGCCATTTGCAGTCAAACGGGGGGAGAGGGTGAGGGGGCGGGCGGGGAAGGGGGAGAAATCGGTTCGGTCGGGTCCGGGTCCGGTCCGCGCCGCTAACGGAATAAGCGCTCGAGCTCCGTCCTCGCCACGGGGCCTCCCGCTCACAACCCAGGGCGCGCGGCACTTCCCTTTGACGGCGCACCCAGCAAGTCTCGCGAGGGGACAGGGACGGCGGCGCTGGGCGGGCGACGCGTGGTCGGGCGGCCATCTTGGTGAAGGAGGCGAAGCCGGGCGTCGCGTTACTGGTCAAGACCGTTAGCGGCAGCGTCATCGCATTTTAATAGACGTCTCGGAGGCATTCGTATATTATACACTGTGAAGTGAACGGATTGGACGTCGTGTGGGTCCGCGTTACGTTGAAATTAATTAAAAATCTCAAAACAGTTCACTATTCCTGGGGGGGGGGGGGCGGGAAGCTGCTTTCTCCTGAACACTGAGGTGGCTGCAATGCGATGTCCTAATCGCCCCCCAAAATAGAGTCAATCCGCTTCTTATACAATATATTCTGTTAAGCGCTTTTGAGGCACCATATCAAATGCGAGACTTATGGTTGATGGGAGTCAACCTTCCCTGGTGCATTCACCGGTCACCGCCAGCAACAGCCCCAGCGCCGCACTGGAGTGTCAGCCTGGACTACGTGAGTGCCAAGTCCCAATTTGTGGGTTGAAGGACTCACCGAGGCGACTCCCACCAATTGACCCAAACTAAAGGGATCTGGATATCAGTTGCGGTGTGTGTGTGTGTCTCTCTCTCTCTCTCTCTGCCTCTGAATTCCTCTAATTATCTGGATGGAACCTCTCCACCGGACTCAGTTGGCTAACTTCACCCATGTGTGCCGTAGAAATTGCCACGGAACAGCCTCCCGACTTGACTGCCTCAGTGCAATTTGTTGCGCTGACTTATCAGCAGACAATAAGCGCGCGCGAGAGAGAGAGAGAGAGAGTCCGAACGTAATTCATCTACTGTCAAGAGGAGGAGAAAAAAAAGCTTAGATTTTCGACAGCACTTAACGTATTCAGCCCGAGTGCTTTATATTGTTCACTTCAAAGCGTAAGGGACTCGATTCTTTTGAGAGAGAGAGAGAAAAAAAAACTGCATTCACTAAAGCAGGCTGGAGGCACGTACCTCACTCTCACTCCCCATGGCAGCAGTTCCATACTTTATAAAGCGATTTAGGGTGGGAGGAAGGGGCCGGGGAGAGGGAGGAAGGGGCCGGGGAGAGGGAGGGAGGGAGGGAGGGAGGGGGTGAGAGGGAGAGAGGGAGGGGAAGAGATAATAAAAATGCTCGGCTCCCAATGAACGATAGCTGAATGCCTCGGGAGTGCGTGGCTCTAACGGGCTTCCCTCGCTCCCAATAACGACGGGCGGGTGGGGTGGTGTGTGGGGGGGGGGGTCCGACGACGACGACGACTTTTAAGCAGGTTTTTTTTTTCTTTTTTCGGGTGGTGGTGGGAAGAAACAATTTTCGTTCTTTGGCGAATGTCGTAATTCTCAACGGCGGAGACGATGACGATCGGATTAATTTTTTTTTGTGGGGGGGGGGTGGCGGTGGGTATTTAATCGCTTGACCCCCGGTGGCGACAGACAGCGCGACGCTCCTTCGTCGAGAGCTTCTCACCCCACAAAAAAAAACGCGCGGCAACCGGAAGTGTCCGCCCGGAAATGCTTCCCTTCCTCCTTCCCTCCCTCCCTCCTCCTGCACAGCGTCAGTCACGCGGGTTCGGGAGGAGGAGGGGGGGGCGAGTTAGTGTGTGACACGCAGAGGCGGCGGAAGAGGAGGGGGTTGTCCGTCGCGGGAGGCTGGTTGTTTTCTCTCACAGAGCCGACGATTTAGGGAGAGAAAGACCTGACCGACCGACTGACTGACTGACTGACCGACCGGACTCGGGTTGTTTTGTGGAGTGTCATTAAACCGCAGGAGAGAGTGAGATCCAGGCCGTCCTTCCCGGGTTTTTGACGGGGGGTGCGGGGGGGGGGGCTGCGGCCTTAGAGACGGCTGACAGCCTGTGCGGGAGGAAGAGCCTTCATAAGACTTGGGCTTCCCGAAACACACCCTCTCGCCCCATTCCTCACCCCCTCCCTCCCTCACTCCCTCCCTCCCTCACTCACTCACTCACTCCCTCTTTAGACGAAAGATCCGACCGAGGCTGCCAAGGAGAGGAGAGGAGGGGGTGCGGGTGCGGGGGGGTGGTGGTGGTGGTGGTGGTGGAGGGGACAGCGTTCGAACATGTCCTGCACTGTGGTGATGTGCACTTGCTCGTCGGCTGCACGGTTTATCCGCTCGTCCATTGCCGGCTCGGGTTTAGGTAAGCAAGCCGCAGGATGGGGGGCACGGCTGGACCTGCCGTCAGCCCAGAGTTTGGGTAAGACCCGGGTTTAAAGTTTGGATACATCACAGCCCGGGCAGAGGGCGAACTAACCGGATCAATAGGCACTTGTGTCGAATTGATTTACAACGTGATCGCTTATGTTTTGTTGTGATGTGTGTGTATGTATATATATATATATGTGTGTGTGGGGGTGTGCCCAGGCTCTCCCCCAGTTGAAGTGTGGACGGGGGAGGGAGAGGGTGGAAGAGACTGGCGACAAAACACTGCTCGAGCCCCACTTTGTTTTTGAGCGCACAGGAGTAATGCAATCAACAGCTTGACCTAAATACATGTCAAAATGCCCCCCTCGCGTCACTCGTGTGTGAGATTATTGTGATTAATATGACGCTGGAGTCTCCCTGCTAAAGTTTTAAAAAAAGAAGAAAATGTTGGTGTTTCTTCTCCCCCCCCCCCCCCCCCCCTCCCTTACCTCCCCCCACCCTCCCTCCCTTCCTTCCAAGAATCTCTTTTCTACCCGAAAACGATGACTCATGCAATGTCAGATCGTTAAATGATGGGCAGATACTCGTAGAATTATTGAATGTGTCAAGCAAACACCTGCCATTCGGCCCAACAAGCCTTTGCCAGCGCTTTTCTTTACTTTAACTAGTTCAATTCCCCTGGTGAATTCCAACAGTACATCAATGTACACTCTAGGCAAGATTAGACAAAGTGAAATTCCTACAAAAAAACACGAAGTACCTTACTCTTCCAACAGTACCCTGCTGGAAGTGTGTGGATCCTGGATCAGTTGTCACTCTGTGCCTAACACACTCCTTAATTAGATAAAGGCAAGATATATCCCTCAAAGTGAGAGGGTGCACATTCAGTTCCAGAGGCAAACAAATTTCCGTGCACAGGTAGAATATATATATGGAACTATGTTTGGTTTCTTTTAACATGGTGATCGGTTTCCACATGTGTCAGATGCCTATCTGACCAAAAAGATCCCACTTTCCTGCTTACTTCCCATACCCCTTATTACTTTTCAAGCATATATTTATTTCCTTTTAAAGTAATATGTAGACTGTCTCAGCAATTGTTTGGATGTGGACGTTGAACGTAGACAGGTTGTTCTACCATAAGGAATTACAGATAATGCAGTATCCAGTCGTATTTACGACAAGGATCACTGAATGGCTATCAAGAGTGGGATTGGCAGTTTTTTTTGTAGGAATTTCACACTGGCTAATCTTGACTAACTCAGCACACTATATTGAGCCATCTGAGCCAAATGCCTTATTTTTATGAATACGTTGGCCTTTTAAGAATACTGGTCAGTCTACAAACAAGCATTCTTGTGAAATTCCCCTGAAGTTAACTCCCTGATGATTAGCCTCTCAAAATTGTTTTATGAAAGTTTGGGTGAGTTGCAAGTAGTTTTCCTGTTTGAGGGGCTTGGTCCTTTTTTAAAATAGTAATAAAAATGTAGAGGATAGGTTCTATAGAAATCAACTGTTCAGTAGTTAGAGCACTCGAGTTGCAAGCAAGACATCTGGGTTCAATTCCCGGCAGGGTGAAACCTTGGGCAAGTTTTCTTACTCCACAAACCTAATAATAATCCCTCCAAAACAAAACAATAATAAAAAAATTGGTCAGTTTCAATCCACGACTGTCTGTGGGACACTGCTGTGTGCAATTGGCTGCCGTATTTCGCCCACAAATATACAGTCAATTCACTTAACAGCATATTCTGTGAAGCGCTTTGAGATGTCGAGAAGATATGGAAAGCGTTATATGCAAGGATTATTATATTATAACTGAACTGTTAATCTCAAAACACCCAATATTTGAAGGGAAAATATTGAAGATCGGTAAATTGGTTCCATAAATATTTTTGTGATGTTGAATGGAGAAACTGGACAGTATTGCTGATTGTGAAATACATATTAAAAACAGATGCCAGACAGTATGTAGACATTTCCATATGCACACCCAAGTTTATGGGTCTTATCCATCTAATAAACGAATGTAGTTCAAGTTAGGTGGTTCAGTAACTAAATTGATCTATCAGTGAACTGTCAAATTATTTTGAGCTACCTGTATTAAAGGTACTTTGCTTTGAGATTTCTTGCAATAGTCCAGTATTTAGTAGCAGTAAATATAATTTCCTGAAGGAGAACAATAATAAAGAGCTACATGCTTTAAATAAATGGGATGGAAAGAAAATGCCAGTAAATTAGCTTAATGTTAATTTACCAAATGATGGTACAAACTGGTTTCTGTTTTATTTAGTTGAGAATGGCCATCACAGATGTTTCGTGCTTTATTGTTCCACTTGTGCTGAGTTAGCTGATACAGCCCAGAGGCAGTATTAGCATTGGTACAATTGGCTTTAAAGCCCCCTGTGCCTAATTTTCAGCATGTACTTATTGCTGGAAGAAGTGCACAAATGAACAATGGGTAAAATTAAGCTTAGCGCAATGCTGTCGTGGTTGAATAACCTACCAGTTCTCAGAGGCTGACTTCACATATGCCACTGTAGCATGAATCTGTACCTCAGCACGAGTCCAGGGGAGATGATTAGCAAAGACCATTGTGTTACTTCCACGTTAGTTGATGTTTGGTAAGGGGGTTGACGTAAGTTGGTTGGTTATATTGTACCAGTGTAAGACTATCGGGGACATTTCTGACAGCATTGCAAGCAGCCAGCTGTGGTTATATTGTTTGCTTGAAATGCCCTTGACTTGGGGAAAACAAAGCTCTGCGCATGTGTACTTAAACGTACATGCACGCAACACTGTTCACCAGCTTCTGTTGGCCTGTTAGCTTTCCAATGTTTGAAAAGAGCTGAAAAGATGTCTCTTTCTATGATTGGAAACTTGAAGACCTTTGAATGACTGCTTGTTCTTTTTAAATTTTAAAAAGTTTGCTTTGCAAAAGTTGGTGTACTTCAGTCTATCTGTCGCACTGGCAATGGCCCCTTTTAAGGTGCTCTTGGTGTCAATGTTTTGTAAATTGGCAGTGTTTTTCTGCATATTTGGCCTCAGATGAAACTCTGCCAACAACAAATATGAAATATAATTGGGGCATTAATTGCTGAATAGACAATAGAGGTTCTTGTTGCCCATGTTTCAGTTTGTAATGGTTACATCATGCCCAACAAGTCACCTGTTGTAAAACAAAAAATAGAGTGAGAATAGAATATATTCATAATTACTCCATTGATATTTCAGACTTTTCGTAAAGTAATTCTTACAGAGATTTTTGCACTTCCATTTCAGGGTATGTATCAGTACGTCTCAATTCTCCTCTGTTAGGAAGTATAATGAGTTTTGAATTACACGGAGCAAGAAAAGTTCCTACCAGAGCATTTTCTGAAACCATTGCAGTGCTGGCTTCAAAAGATGGTGGAACCAAAGATATTTCCGGAGATAGCAATAAGGTATTCTTTCCTACTTGTTGATTGTCTTTATGAGAACAAAAATCTTACTTCCTTGTCTATAGAAACACATCTAATGTAAAAGATCGAATAATGAATTTGATCCCTGCAATGACAAACGCTTCCATTTAAAATTATTTTACATTGTTTATTTTATAATTATGAAACTACTGTAAAAGTCCCTGTGCCAAACAGTGATAGAACAAGCAGTCTGAATATAGCGACTACATTTAAATGAGTTGGGAATTGGCTAGATGATTGATCTGCTAAAATCTTTGCAGAAGTCCATCAGTGACGGGGGCAGCAAACGATCATCGGGATCCGGTGGTTCTGGAAAAGGTGGAAACCAGCTGCGCTGCCCAAAGTGCGGGGATCCATGCACTCATGTAGAAACGTTTGTTTGTAAGTACAGTACTATTCAAACCTAGTCTGAGTCACTGATCATTTCACAAGCAGAGTGTCAATATAAGGCTAGAGTAACCACTGTTCCTACCATTTCAGAAGCATAACATCATTTCTCTTTCTTTTTACAGAATAATATTCACTAGGAATTGAATATGACACTGGATCTAATGTGGGATGAGAGTAGTGTATGCTTTTGGTTCAGAACATGATGTCGCTTCTGCTGGCTGATAGTCTATTGTGACTTCAGACAAGCACTTGTAATCCTAGGTTGCAGCCGATTCAGATGAAGACATGAGTCTCTAGTAGACTCCCAGTATTTTAGGGGCTATTTCATTTATTTTTCCCAGTTGATCCAAGAAAATACTGGGAATACTAATAATGGCTTCAATTGAATCGGCTGTAACCTAGGATGACAAAGGGAAAAATTTGTGGCATTCTTAGAAATCGATTGTATTTTCAAAAGGTGATGTATTTGAGATTACAAGCCAATGACATTGGAAGCTGAATATGTCCTGCACCTAAAATACAAAATAGCCTAGGCTTATGATCAGTTGACTATCAGTGCATTCCTTTATGGTTTGGCATACAATTATTGATTTGCATTTTGTTTGGGAAGCATTTGGACTTTGTGATAAACTCTGATGAACTCGATGGTTAGCATTGTTTACATATGGCAACCATGTGTTCAGTAGCGGCCACATATAATGGAAGGTCAGAACTAAAGTGTAATACTTTTTTTGTGTACTTTTTCATTTAATGGAATAAGCAAAAAACTGAAATGATTTCACCTTTTGACTGAGCCGAACTCTTAAATGGTTGATGGTGCAAAGTCCAAAGCATTGCCAAGTATAGTAAATTGCACTCCATTGCTACATGCTTTCTGTTGCTACTGTTCCTATTTATAGATATTCAGCAGCTAAAGTACTGCAAGGGGGCCTTTCAGGAGGCTGAGTACAGTTAGTTCCTACCAGATGTTATTGCAAAATTTAGAACAGTGAAACTACCAAAAGTTGTTGATAGTAATCTATTTTCACAAGAAATTGGATTAAATGTTCCATTCCAAGTAACAAATCTATGCTAACAATTTATTGTAAAATGGAGTGAGTAGTTTAGCAGGAGGAAGAATTAGAATTTCTGTCCCAAGTGGATTATTCATTGTGTTGTAAAATGGAAACACTTAGTGATTGTTTGTCATTTTGACTGATCATGGTTCGTATAAAATAGTGTTTGTATGAGTAGCAAGGCGAGATTTGGTATTGAATATTTGGAGTGAAGAAGAGACACATTGGAGCAGCAGGGATAAGGGGTTGGTTTCTCCTCTCTTCCCTTTCTATATGCTTGCCAAAGGGGTTAACGATGAAAGATGCTAACAGAGGAAGGAATAACGTCTACTCTAAGCAAATGAGCCCGAGTGTAATTAATTAACGAGCGGACTGCCCCTCCAATTGTACAAAGAAAGTTGTTTTCTGGAGGCTGCCTCTTTCTACACTACTCCATAACAAATATTATCCAGAATACTATGAAAGCACTCACTATTCTGATTCCCCTAGTGTATGTCCATTTTTATTCAAATCAAGTCTAGGCCTCTATCCTGTGGACCTCAGTTTGCAAAACAAGGGTATATCATATTTGTTAAATTCTTTGGAGATCCTGAAAGCTCTTAGTTCTTTAAAAGACAAAAGAATACCATACACATCTCGAAAGTGGAGGTGGGGATCTATAGAAAAGGTTTCCCATTTAAGTGTGGTTCGTACTGCTTTAAAGTAACACACATTGAAGCTGACAGACTGTAACCTGTAACTAAACTTGTTTCAGTTGAGTGACAAATTGTTTTATCTTCTGCAGCTTCAACTCGCTTTGTGAAATGTGAAAAATGCCACCACTTTTTTGTAGTGTTGTCTGAGGCAGACTCCAAGAAAAGCTTAAACAAAGAGCCTGAATCGGCAGCAGAAGCCGTGAAACTAGCTTTCCAGCAAAAACCACCACCACCACCCAAAAAGGTAACCCCTACCCCTGTAGTATGGCAGATTACTTCATCAAGTCCTACACTAGATGTCCATTTGGTGAGGAGGCTTATCAATCTTGTTGCAATGAAGCCATTCAGTTACTATCTCAGAGAGACAACTTACCAGTTTTCTGGTCCTGGAGTTTAAGAGGGTTGATATCCCCATTACAAAGCGCTTTCAATGTCTTCACATCCATCTATTTTGTGAATCCAATCCTTTTTCCAGATGTCCCAATACAGTATATGCAGAGAATGCACCCAACCAGCTTTTCAAGTGAGGCTCCTGTTTACAAGTCATATTGTTTTCAATCCTGGGTTCACCTTACACTTGTTTTCACTTTTTAAAATGTCATCTCTCTTTACTCCCGTCTTTGCAGAATTTCCATGACATTCTACTAGTACGTGAAATGGCTTAGGATTGCTACTTATACATTTATATAGTAGTGCGGTGCTTGGCTATGTGTTATAATGTTGGGCTGGTGTGTTGTGAAGTACACCAAGCTGACTAACTGGTTTCTCATGTCAAAAAGGTAATTATCTGGGTGGTCTGTGTGCTGCTGACGCCACTTCTTGTGAAATATTAGCAAGAGGTGCAGCTAAAGTCACTTCCTGTCTGCTGTGCTATGTGCAGGAAGCACTTTTTGCGCATAGGAAACTTGCACAATAAATAAGAAGTGACATCAGCAATGGCAGCATTTTTGCCATTTTTCATTTTTTATTATGCACCCAATTGAGACATTGAACCCAGACCACCACATTACAATTCAACAAGTGTGCATTTATTGCCGCCCTTCGACGTGGGGTAGCATCTCAAAATGCTAATAATAATGGTGGTGTCTTGTCTTTTTACTGACTATCTCCATTTAGATTGCATTATATTTGCCTGAGTAGATCAAAAGGCTCCTCAAAAGCTACTGCAGTTCTCTTAAGTATACTCCTCGTGTTTCAGATATACAGTTACCTTGACAAGTATGTAGTGGGCCAATCGTATGCCAAGAAGGTGCTCTCAGTTGCTGTGTACAACCATTACAAGCGGATCTACAACAATATTCCAACTGCTCTGAGGCAACAAACCGAAATAGAAAAGCAAGCCTCACTGACACCTCGAGGTTAGTCTTTTAACTGTTTTTCGGAGGCATCGTTTGGTGAGTTTCAGGTAACTGTTCAATTTAGTTGAAATAAGAATGGTAATGTGCTTGGTTAGAAGCCGTCAGAAGCATAGAAAAGAATTGATAAGGAATCTATCCTATTTGCTAGAGAAAGTAAACTTTTTTACAGTGCATAATAATACTTCTTTTAGAACTCTGCATTACATGGCAGAAAGTGTGGTTCAGGGTTTCTGTGCTGGAGCGCATTATTGTACCACCGTGGTCCTCCTCAGATCAATAAAGTTAGGGTTCTGTAGGGACTGGTAGCAGATGTGGGCACAGTGCCTGTCTGGTGGAATGGAAATTTAAGGGCATCCTTGTAAGTTAGCTGAGCAGTGGAGAAGGTCTGGGAGCAGACCCCCCTCCCCATACCTTTTCCACAGAAGAAGACTCTAAATAGAACAATTGGGAAACCATTTGTGGGTAATCTACAATCACGATCCACATGAATAGTTGTTGTTACGTGACTTTCCGAACTTCTATTTCAAAGGTTCCATTGTGCATGCTTCAGTGCTTCTCCATCTGGTAATCTGTTTCATACACATTTACCAAATAAGTTGTGGAAAGGATTACTGGGATATCCTGCAATTTACGCTGACTGAATTGAAAATGTGGTGTGACTGAAACCTCAATTCTTTCTCATTTGTTTAACCTCTCCAAATATCACAATACGTCCCCGAACAAATATTCAAAATCCCTGTAAGAGTTTTTGCTTGAATCATGGAATCCCCTTTCGTTCCTGCACTGAATAAATAGTGTGAACGTGGATATTGTCAGTATGGAAGGAGGCCATTCAGCCCATCACAAGCCTGCCACAAACCAAGACCAATGCTCAATCCATTTTCTCTTTGACCTATTGTACAATCTTGCTCTGTCTTACAAATGAAGATTGTACAAAGGGCATAAAGCAGCATCAGGCCCGCGGGCTTCCAGTTAGACTGATAAGTGCATTATGTGATTCTCAATTGTCTTGACATCTTGAAGTTGCCATTAAAACATTCAATGCTCAGGGTTCATCTTGAAATCACCAGCATGTTTAGTATGGTGATCTAGCTATGATATGAACTTTCTTGAACTCTTGTGATTCATTTCTCATCACTTTGGACATCTCCAAAGCCTCTGACAGGGTCTGGCACTTTGCCCTTCTATACTGGGTGACCTCTTCTACCAAAGTTATGTTCATGGCTATTCTCGTTTCTTCTTGAATAGCTCTAGCTATGTGTTTTTTTCTCTTGATGGGCGGTTGATCCTCTGATTTATTTTTTTACACACCAGCCTGAGATTCCTTGTTTTTTGCTCTCTCATTTCCTTCTCTCTCCATATCAGTGTTGTGCACTCATCACTGAATGCTATTTACTTCTTTGTTAGTAATTCCAATTTGCATTCATTGACTTTCTTCAGACTGCGCACAGTAAGACTCACATAAGTCGTATCAGTCAGAACCATAGCACTTAATGACTTACATGAAGTCTGAGGCAAAGCTTTACAGGTGGTTTTTCTGTCTATGGAACACTCAGCATCTTCACCTGTAGCTTTGTCTCTCATATGCAGAACGTTTCACATAGAGTTGACCATCAGTTTCTGTGCATTACTGCAGGATGTGAAAATGTCATTACCTGTTGTTATACAGTTACAAATTTATTTCATGTAAGTACATCGGGCAGTTTCAGACAACGTGTGTGTATATAACGTGAATATATTTCAAAACGTTGACCTTTAAATAGGACACCCCAGTCGAGTCTTATCCTCTCCTCTCACAACACCAACATATGTACTTTCCGGCAGGAGAAGCTCTTGTTAATTTACTTTCCCCCCTCTCTTTCTCCCTCCACCCCCATCTTAGCATAACCCTAGAAGCACCAAGGCTAGAAAATTCGGGAGTCAAATCTGTGACCTTTTGGCGATTTAATTGTTCAGTAGCACACTAGACTGTCCGGGCGGATTTTGCCCTCTGAACTTTTGGATGGAAGTATAAAAAGGAATGCATTTAAAAATCTAATCTTAAACAACTTTTGACATGTCAGTGTAGCCTTGTAATTGAAACCATTGCTGACGCACTGCAAAACTTGCAAATCGTGCTCTGTTAGTGTACATCGCTTTGCACTGATACAAACAAGTGGTGTCTGGGGAGGGGTTTAGAAATGACACACAATAAAACCTACTCAAGCCTTAATCTGCTGTACAATTTCACAGCAAAGTAATGGTCTGTTGGGCTGGCATGAGGTAGCAAAACAACTGTATTGGGTCTGTATGGGCTGCTGTGTTTTTAGCTAGATCACTGTTTGATGTTGCTATTTCTAACTCTTTTTCTATAGAGTTAGAAATCCGAAGACGGGAGGATGAGTACAGATTTACAAGTAAGTTGACTCATCTTCTTACCTGTGTCCCCTCTTCCCCCGCCACCCCCAACTTAGGGTTTTTTCTCCCAAGTTTTTTTAAAAAAAACACAACTAAAATCAACAGTTCAATTATGTTTTGTGAATTAAGACACCTGCAAAGGCCTTGTTACTCGCAGCTCGAAAAATGGATACAGATGATCAAACCAGGTTTACAGTCTGTTTTATCAAAGGTTCCTGTGAAACTCTTAGTCAGGAAACTTTATGTGGTCGGTGCAATGAGAATGCAGTTTTGTTGTAGTTGAGTGACCGTCATTGCTCACAACGGCAACCTGTACAGAACACTTCGAAGAATATGCTGAAAATCAATTTGAAAATGCTGGTTTCATCAAATTCACTCAAATAATCATGGGGCTGCATTCTTCCAAACAAAGCAAAAGGACCGACATTCACCTATTTACACATTTTCAAACGTGAGGTCCAGTGAGCAGCTTGCATCTTCATTCAGGCTTTTATCATCTGCAAACCATGCATTTCTGTCATTACAAAGCCCTTCAACACTTAGACTTTTAAGAGACCAGAACATTTGTACCAAGCAGATTCACACAGCTCATCTACAACAAAACTGCATGCTCACTGCACCTAGTGCGGTTTGTTCACAAGCTAATACCATTTTCCTTGCTGTGGAGCAACCCTGTGGAATTGCAGTGCAATGCTGACATACACTTTGTGTGTCTGAGGTAGGGTGACATAGATGAAGAAAGAGGGAGGTGTCGTCCAGAAGGTCAAGGATGTCTTAACTTAGGGTGACTTTTTTTCTTGTAAAGACAACTACTTTTGAAACGCGACTCATTTTTGCAGTATAAGATTACAAGGATGTAAACGTGACATTCAGCTCTTTTCACAATTTGTTCTGACAGTTTTCATCTTTCTCCCTCAAAATTGATAATCCTTCCTGTTTCCTCTTCCAAATGTGGCACGTTTAAACATCCTTTTAGCTTGTGACTTCCTTTTTTCATAATCCTGCTCCCCGCTCTTCTTTGATGGTACTCATTGCCACCTACCTATCTTCTAACTACTTATTTCCTTTAGTAGAAACTCATCCAGTTGCCTTTTAAACCGATTGGTACTGTCTGTTTCATTTACCTTCTCTGATCACTTATTTCACAAATCTATTTTACTTTGTGCCATACAGTTCTGGCAGACTTTTATTCTTATTGCAAACATCCTTATTTTATCTTTGACCCACTTATGTGAAATCTTAACTGAATTATCTTTGCCTGGATTATGAATCATTCATCTTGGGAATCAGTCTCTTCCATAGAAAACAAGTACATTTTTTTGGACATTCTGAGACTTTTATACTTTGTCTTAATGCCAGGAGCACTCAAAACTACAGCAACCACAACATTTCTCCCCTTGTCAAGCCAACAAATCTGCACAAAATTGCATTAGCAAAGCTTTCCATGTTGCTTCTGCCTTTGAAACTCCATACCCTTTCGCACAGATGGCCAAATGCAGAGTAAAATATCACTTGAGTTTTTCCTAGAATCAGTTGCTAACTGAAGGCTGTTAACACAAGAGCTAGGTTTTGGAAAATCTGATTTTTCTGTTGGTATTTGGCCCATTTAATCAGTTTGTTTTTTACCCAGTAGAACTTCAGGGCTTTTAGTTTTCTGCGTCACCAGGGTCAAATCTGATGGCTTTAAAAGTGTCCATTTTAGCATGTTATGGCCCCTGTTCTAATAACTAAAAACAGTGATAAGTTGGAGAGCAAAAATGGAAAAGTAATTAATGTATCTATATCACACCACTGTCTTCCTCCGCTCCAACTGAACTTCCAAATATAGTGGTTGGGGAAGAGCAAGTGGTCTCGTAACTAGTAGCTCAATGCTACTAAATATCAGCCATTATATATACCTGCTCTTTGACATTCTGCAACTTCCCCAAATTATCTTCACCTTGCTCCTTTCACTGCTTCAAATACCTCTTTTCTTTTAAACACTAAATCTTTTTCACCTTGCCTTTGCCCAAACACCTTTTATGCTTGGTTGCTCTCTGTCACCTCTGAAGTGTTTTGAGACATTCCATCCTGCATACTTTTATACGGCCCATTGAATAAGTTTGCTTTTTACCGAGTCCTGTTGTTTTCTAATTCCTTTCATTTAGGAATGAATTTTTGGAACACGCCAAGATTTAATTGATGCATTTGGCAATCGTGGGTGAGGTTGAAATCTGAGATGAAGGCTATTTAGAGGCTGTGACACTTGAAAGGATATACTGGCTGGATGACCTAGTTGCAAATAATTTGCTGGAACGGCAATGAAATGTAATTTTGAATAGTGTAATTTTGAACAGGGCAGTTGGTTCCTGAAAGTGTAAAAGCTGTGAACTGGATATGTTCAGCTTTGTGGCATTTACACATGTGAAACTGAGCGTCTCCTATAAAGTGTAACTGTGTTTTTTCGGAAAGTATTTGGAACACAACCGCTGGTTGGGAGATCCTAAACAGGCAGCGAGGAAAGCTGCTGGTGAGTCAAAGGTTCACAAGACCACAGCTGAAGGCACAGCGATAGTAGTAGATGAAACAGCCTTAGCACACTGTGCAGTTTCAGGCAAAACATTGGGATCTAAAAGTGAACAGGGATGACATTAAAAAGAAAGGAAGTTGTGCACCTCTACAACAAGGCTAGCTACCGAGTGTAGGAGCTCTCCTCCATTGCCTGAAATAACATGGTACTTGGTAGAAAATGTTCTAGTCGGCGGGGATTGTAACTCAGTATGCCTTTAACCTCCATTGTCCACATTCCTCACAAAATATTTTGTGATCAGCAATTTGGGACATCCTCCTGACGTGAAAGCCGCTATACCAAATGTAAGGATTTATTGATTATTATTATTCACTTTATTTCTAACCAGTCTTTGTTTCTAAAGAGCTTTGAAGTGTTTTTTTTTTGTCAGCTGCATGACTGACGCATGCGGAAACCCATCACCATGCTCAAGAGTATCCAGACCAAACACAGTTCCATACAGTTTGTTGTGGATACTCTTAATCGTGGTTTTTTTTGTATGTATCAGACACCTGTCTAACCAAAAAAAGTGTTTACTTTGCATATAAACTTCTATATAAATTGTCACTGGTTGTATTGGACATGCTGTAACTGGTTCACGGAAAATAATGGCTGCCAGTCTCGTTTCTAGGTTGTCAGGTCACTGCTGGTGTAGCTTCCAGTGCAGACTGACTGGTAGCTTCTTGCACAGGAAGCTGGCCAGATCATCCACAAGCTCAAAGAGTACTGCATTTCCAGTAACTGCGTCCTATACACAGGCTCACAGGCGAGATGCGTTATAACTGGTTTATAACTCTTTATTGGTTTTTCTTTTAGAGTGTTTTAAATGTCGTAAACTGAAAAAGCAAGTATGAATGACTTTATAAGCATTCAAAGATTGTTTTATAGGCTTTATCACTCCTGATTATCTTTATGATATCAATTTATTAGGTTTTATCGAGAGGGATTTTTTGATTGTCGGTGGAGAAGCGCTCATCTTTTTGTCCACGTGCTTCACATACAATGACGTTCACCCAGAATTAATGTTCAATGGAATTTCCAAGAGTTTATCCAAACATTTAAAAACAAATCAAAAAAAATTAAAGGAGCAGCTGTTTATAAGCATTTAATTTGGAGATGTTAAACAATTGAGATGAAAATGATGCAAAACCTGATTGTGTGGCTATCTTGTGTCGCAGTAGAAGAACTTATCTGGAGGTTTTTTCTTCTCTTTCCCTCCGCAGAACTACTTCAGATTGCAGGCATCAGCCCACACGGTAATGCACTCGGAGCTTCGATGCAGCAACAGGCAAGTCAGTCTGTCCCTCAGGAGAAACGGGGAGGAGATGTGCTGGACTCCATTCACGATGACATTAAACTGGAAAAAAGCAATATCCTGCTGCTAGGTCCAACAGGATCAGGTTGGTTTTAAAATCAAGGGAATCATTCAAGAGTGCTGTTCATTAGCTGTTGTTTCACAGAATCATTTGTGAATCCTCTACAAGCTTCCAAAACGTTCTACAATCTTAAGCCGTCCATTTGTACTTACAGATTCTTCAATTAATTCATTAATTAATTAATCCTACTGTTATGACCAGGAAATCCTATTAAAATTACCTTTACTTGATTGATTCTTAACCAATGAATCAGCTTATTTGGCCTCTGGAAGTACCTTTAAAGATTTTGTGGTCCCTGTGTCCTCACAAACAGTCGACTCCTAGCTAAAGACTGAAAAGAAAAATCAGTATTTTGCCTTTTTAAATGTGTTTTTGAAAATTGAACAAAACACTGCAGTTTTTAACTCAAACCATTGAGGAGTCTGCTTCATTGTTTGTTCTTTTCTCTCTGAATCCAGGTAAAACTTTGTTAGCCCAGACTCTTGCCAGGTGCCTAGAGGTTCCCTTTGCCATCTGTGATTGTACCACCCTGACCCAAGCTGGCTACGTGGGTGAAGACATTGAATCGGTCATTGCTAAACTGCTGCAAGATTCCAATTACAATGTGATAAGCACAACAAGGTAGGCCAGCAAATTGCTATGCCAGCAAATAACTCCCTGTAGTAAACACTGCAGTATTGCTGTCATACTAAACATAAAAGTTAGTTTCTGTCAGTAAAATGGATCTCACTGCCTTTAGTCCATGAGTAGACAGTGCATTTATGGAACTGGATATGAAAAGAAATGACATTTGGATATGGGTCCATAGTGTTCCACACAGTATTTTATCTGTTGGGGAAAATGGGGAATTGTTGTTATGATGTGCAACCAGTAGAGATTGTGAATATATTGTGTCGATTTTGAGTTTTTGCTTAATTGAGGTCTCAGACTTGAGGGAAAAAAATGACCGAGTCCATGATCTGTGTACAGATTAGACTGTATCAGACCATCTGTGCAAAAAGTTCTTATTTTGTTTTAAAGTTCTGTGTTTTTATTAATTATCTTGTCGTCTTTCACAGGAATCGTGTTCTTGGATGAAGTGGATAAGATTGGCAGTGTGCCTGGCATTCACCAGCTACGTGATGTAGGGGGTGAGGGAGTTCAGCAGGCAAGTAGCTGGCAATCTTAAGTGCTGGAAGTATTTGTTAGAACAAAATGTTTACTGCTTTTAGTTACTGCCTTTGGATACATATCTACTGTGTAGATTTCATTACCAGCATTATAGGCAGTCTTAACTATCATAGCCAAGAAAGCTCGTGTTCCATTACTAGTTGTAACTAAACTCCTGATTTATTTTTCTGGGTGACACAACCTTAATAAACATCTGCAACTTTGTTTTTCAAGCTCCTGGCTGAATTGGTTGAGCTAGGTGTATTTTTTTTAAATGGTTTCTGTTCTCCTGCCCTCTCTTAGGGTCTGTTGAAACTACTTGAGGGTACAATTGTAAACGTCCCAGAGAAGAATTCAAGAAAATTGAGAGGTGAGACGGTTCAAGTGGATACCACCAATATTTTGTTTGTGGCATCTGGTGCTTTCAATGGTCTGGACAGGATTATCAGCAGAAGGAAGAATGAAAAGGTAATTTTTCTCTGACTTTCAGGATATGGTTTCCGCATGCGTCATTCAACCAGCTGACTTATAAAATTTTTTTTAAAAATTGGGATACCAATGCCATAGAAAATAGTGAACTTCTTTATATAAATGATCGATGTCTGGAAATTGATCTCTTTTTAAATTTTTTAAATGCTACTGAGATTTCCTAGTTATCGCCAGAATCTTGTTTGAGGAGAATTCCAGGTTTAAGACAAATTATTAATTTGTTTGCTTAAGTGATTTATTTTGGAGCACATTACACAACAAAGGTGCTTTTTAATTGCACTGTTATTGAATACTCTCTCCCCCCCCTCCCTCGCCCCTTTTCTCTCCCTTCCTTTCTCGCTCTCCCTGCAGTACCTTGGGTTTGGAACACCCTCAAACCTTGGCAAAGGGAGGAGGGCAGCGGCAGCAGCAGATTTAGCCAACACGAGTGGCGACAACAACACTGTACAGGAGTTGGAGGAAAAGGACCGATTGCTTCGCCATGTAGAAGCCCGGGACCTGATTGAGTTTGGAATGATCCCAGAATTTGTCGGTCGTCTGCCTGTGGTGGTCCCACTGCACAGTCTAGACGAGGAGACCCTGGTGCGGATTCTAACAGAACCTCGCAATGCTGTTGTCCCCCAATACCAGGCTTTATTTAGTATGGACAAGGTGCGAACAAGTGTGATGTATTTTTTTCTCTCCTAACAGATTTGTCTTCGACCGTGGCTCCGGTCACCCTCCTACCCCTACCCTCCACCCCTCCTGATCCCAACCATCAGCTCGGGTGCTAACGCCTTGGGATGTCCTGACGTTAAAGGCGCTAAGCAAATATAATTTTCATAAAGATTAATGTGAATTTATTTATCTCTGGTGTTACTGACCTACCTAACCTTTTTAATGATCTATTTAGTGTGACCTGATCGTAAGTGAGGGTGCTTTGAGAGCTATAGCTCGACTGGCTCTGGAGAGAAAGACTGGCGCCCGAGGCCTTAGATCGATTATGGTGAGTTATCTGAAGAATTTGGGGAGGTTTTTGGCACTTGTTCACGGTGGCTAACTTTTGTCTTCAAGGAGATATCCTGGCAGCAGGAAAACAATGGTCTTAGTCTTTACTGATTAGCCTGTTCCTAAAGACTCTGACTCACCACAGAACAAACTTTTAAAGGGATTCCGCTCCCACTGTCTACATTTAATGACTTGATTTGGAAATATTTAAATAGTTTCATCTGATAATGAGGGGCCTCCTGGTTGATGATTGGGGAATGGCATTTGATTAGCAAGGACTCCCTGCTACTTTATTCAGAGCATTATTGCCTCTAAGAAGAGCAACAGGAAGTTCTGGGTGACCTAAGTAGGACACTTAAGAACACACTTGTTATACAGCTCCTAAAAGTCCAATTTCAACTGCTGTCTTTTCAGGAACAATTGCTGCTGGAGCCAATGTTTGAAGTGCCAAATTCCGACATTGTAGCTGTGGAAGTTGAGAAAGATGTGGTGGAAGGGAAGAAACCTCCAGCGTACATAAGGTGAGTGTCCAAGGCTCTGTCGCAAATTAAAGGTCAATGTCTACAAATTAAATCCACTTCCCAATGTCACTTTTGTTCTGTACAACTGTGCTCACAGAGTTGCCGCTTGTACAGTGTTTCCTGGAGAATTTGGTTAGAGAGAACATTCACTCTGGTGGTTCAACCTGGCCAGGGAAGCTCGGTGCTAGAGGGGGGTGCGGGAGCTGAGCATCGGGTTAATCTCTCAGTCTTGGATAAACACGTCCAGCACAATATCCAGCACAATACCACCCATACGGCCTCCAACTAACTGCTTGGTTTGAAGCTTGATACACAAGGGATTCTTATGCTCCATTTAAAATATTTTTTTAAAAAAAAACTTTGACAATTATTTTCTCATGTTTAGGACACCCCCTAAGGAAGCTGCTGAGGAAGAGTATGATTCAGGAGTGGAAGACGATAGATGGCATCGCCAAGCTGACGCAGCCAACAATTAAACGACAGCAAATATGGAAAAGCTTGTACAATAATGGATCTCCTACAACTTTGCAACTTTTTTTTTATTCTATTTAATTTTAAAGTGCGAATCACCCTTTGTTCTCACCAGAGAGTTCCTGTTCGAAGGGAGAGGCTTTTTTTGGTAAGAGGAAAGAGTTCGAAAGCACTTTCTCACCCCTCCCTTCCGCCCTACACCTTCCAACATGGTCACCAGTCTAATCAATCTGATCATGTATTTCTTTGTAAAATAGTAAATTTTTGTACAGTGGTCATTATGCTGTCTTAAAATTTTACTGGTAAACATTCACAAATGTGTTTATCGCATGTTACCATTTTTAATAGCTACTTCCTATCGTGACTATTCAGGAACAATCGCAGCAACTAGTGCAGAAGGAAGGATCTTAAGGATTTTCTGAATATCTCCTTTAGATTTCTCGGCTACATCTGTGTACTCTTCTTTGAGCTAGATGTGCAGTGGTAATATTACAAAGCTTTAGTTTCATTTAACATATTTGCGTTCATGATTTAGGAACCAATTTGAGAGAAAAGGATCACAGTGCTTGTAATTAAGGAAATATAAACAATTTTACTAACTGCAGAAGGAGGAATTGAGGGGATTTCGGCTTCAGCTCTTTACCACAATACTTGGACATGATTTGGCTTCATTCTGCTTGCACTAAGCTGTTTTGTAACATTTGTTTAGATACTACTTAATATTAAGCACAAGTAGATCTGCACCATATATTTTGTATTTTTTTTTCTTTTACGCTTCTTTGAAAGGTCTAAAAGCGAAAGTCATTTTATGTCTTGCCGACCAGTAATGGGATTGACCAATCCTTTAGAAACAGACTTTATTGGAACACTAAAGGATTTGAAGAAGAATTATTGTAAATCTCTGGTTGTATAAATAAAATGTACAAATAAAAAAAACATCTAAACTGTGGCGGTTCGGTAATTTTGGCACTTGTGATAAACGTGAAACCAAAAGGAAAAGTCGTATTTGGGCAAGATCATACAGTTCTGTATATATTTTCACAGCACCTCTCCCAGCAGGAGGACTTCTCAAAGTGCTTTCCACAGTCAAATAACAATAATAATACTTGCATTTGATATTACGACTTATCACGTCATTGAGACGTCCCAATGAACGTATCGCAAAGTGGATTGACTGTGTATTTTGTGGGTGAATAAACAGTTGACCGGGATGGTGGTGGCGGGTGGCCGGGGGTGGGGGGGAGAGAAGAAGAGAGAGACCCCGCAGCCTGCATTATTCTGATTTCAGCATTTCATTTTAATTGCAGCATTACTCACTCAAACAGAAGTCACTGCGCAACACAGTAACATTGACGGTGTCTTTCTTGTATTGTGCCTTTCTTAAAGTTTTTTTATATAATATATATTTTTAAAAAAGTTCAGGCTGGGGTGATATTTACTGCAGTGGAGACTGGAGTTAACTTTGACCACATTCAGGCTGTGAGAGGTTACCTTGTGGCAGTGATGGAGGGGGGAGGCAGCGTTGGCTGCAGTACCGCAGTCAGTCCGCCGTCCTCCAGGGGGCGCTCTCCAGGGCAGTAACCTATTGCTGCTGGAGCAGTCCGGCCCGCCCACCTCACCTCGCCGCTGATTGGCTGGCAGGGGAGGCGGATCGGCAGCTGATTGGGTGGAAGCAGCTGTCAATCGAGCGGAGCTGACGTCCGGCACGTCGACGACGACGCCGGCGGCGGCGGCCATGGATCGTGGCGGTTACCGGCCTCCCCCGCCCGGCCCGGGCCGCGGCTACTTCGGCCGAGGAGGAGTGGAGAGCCCGGGGCCGGCGTACCCTCACTTGAGGCCGGGGAGGGACAGGGCAGAGGAGGCCAGGACCCCGCCGCCGCCATTCGGGCCGTGGGGCCTCGAGCAGCGGGACTTTCCTCGGCCCCTGTGGGAGCGGCCGCCTCTGTCGGCGGGAGCCGAGCGATACCCTCCACCTCCTCCTCCTCCTCCTCAGGGACAGGAGGCAGGTCGGTACCATCCGTGTCAGGAGCAGCCGCCGCCGCTCCCTCCTCATCACCTCGGCCTCCAGCCGCTGGAGGCCGGGCCTCAGGAGCAGCAGCAGCAGCAGCAGCGCCCGTTTCGGGATCACCCGCCGCCTCAGCACCAGCCCTTCCCGGGCAGAGCAGCGGAGAACGGCGGCCCTCACCGGGTGGACGGGCCCGGGCCTCGGCAGCTCCACCCGGCGGACCACGGCCGCGGCGACCCGGGCGGCGCCTTCCCGCACGCCTACGGGGAGCTGCCGCCTTGGAGCGACGAGCCCGGGCCCCGCCGCGCCGGCGCCGGCGGCGGCGGCGGCAGCAGCAGCTGCGAGGCGCCGCCCGCCTGGTGGCCGGCAGCCGGGACCCTCAGCGGGCGGCCGCCGCCCGCCGGGAGCCCGGAAGGCCCCGAGGATCCGTCCGAACGAGCGCGCCTTTGGCTGTCGAGGGTCCTGTCCCGCCGAAGGCTGCGGCCGCCCGAGCCGCGCGGGCCCCCCGAGCCCGGGCCCTCGGTGGCCGAGGCGCGGGAGTCCATCCTCGGCGTGTGCCGCCTCACGGCCGAGCTCACGGCCCTGTGCCGGCGGCTGAGGCAGAGCGTGGAGGACGACGCGGCCTGGGCCGAGACCCACCGGGAGGCGCTCGAGCTGAAGGAGGCCCTGGAGGCCGAGCTGAGGCCGCTGACCGACGCCGGCTACGTGGCGGCCGTGCGAAGGAGACTCGGGAGGATCGAGACCAGGAGGAGCCGGGCCCGAAGGAAGAAGGAAGAGCTGGGCCTGGAGGGCCGGGAGCGAGGGGAGAGGGCGGCGGAGCGGGAAGCGGGGATCGACGAGTGGAGGGCGAAGCGGGTCCGCCAAGTGGAGGAGAAGAAGAAGGTGCGCAGCGCGGCCGCCGCCGCCGCGACCCCCCCGGGGACGTATCGCCTCTCTCTGTCGCCGCCGTCGTCGTCGTCGTGTGCCGCGCTGTCATCCGGACGACTTGCGTCTCATTTGGTGTTGCCGGCCGGGCTCTCGGTGGCCACGCTCTTTGAGTCGTCTTCTTTTTTTTGTTTGGACTCTTTGAGTCGCAGAGGGTTGCGGGTTCAAGCCCCGCGTCCAAGGCTTGGGATAATAATAATCATAATAATAATCATAATAATCCTTGCATTTGATATAGCGCTTTTCACGTCGGGAGGACGTCCCAAAGCGCTTCACAGAACACACTGTAAAGTGAATTGACTGTATGTTTGTGGGCGAACGCGGCGGCCAATTGCGCACAGCAATGTCCTACAAACAGTCGTACATTGAAAATGACCAATTTATTATTGTTTTTTGTTTTGGAGGGATTATTATTAGGCTCTGTGTGGAGTAAGGAAACTTGCCCAAGGTTTGGCCCTCTGCCTGGAATTGAACTCAGGTCTCTCACTTGCAAAGCGAGTGCTCTAACCACTGAGCCACAGGACTCCACTATCAATCAATCAATCGTCTGAGGTGACACTCCCAACCCCAGTGCTGGGGGGGAGCGGCCGTCATACGCAGGCGAACCGCCTTGCGGTATCTCCCACGGAGCGCTCCGAGACGCCTCTCAACCACGCGATAAAGCGCTTTATCGAAGCGCGAGTATTATTATCTGGGGCGTGGATTGCAATGGCTATCCTTCTGTTAGGTCCCGACCCAACTGTACAGCGCCTTGGGACGTCCTCCCGACGTGAAATGGACGCTCAATAAATGGAATCTTGTTGTTGTTGTTGTTGTTTTGCAGGAACGTGAGCTGAAAGCTGCAGCAGACAGCGTCTTGGCTGAAGTGCGAAAGAAACAGGCAGACGCGAAAAGGATTCTGGATATCCTGTGTGCGCTGGAGAAGCTGAGGAAACTCAGGAAAGAAGCTGCAGCCAGGAAAGGTGAGAGGCGGCTGAGCCCGTATTCACGGCAGAGTCATTTTTTTGTGCCCGTTGATTATATTTGCAAACGAGTTCAACTCTTAATTTCGGGCAAAGTTAAATCCGAAATGCATCTGACCCGTTTTCCGCAGCCGTCCATCCCCCTCCTTCATCCGATGAAATATTTCAGCTTCACGTTGAGGGACTGCGAAAAATGATTAAAAAGCGGAGTGAACTGTACGACGCAGAAGAAAGAGCCCTGAGAGTCATGCTGGAAGGGGAGCAAGAGGAAGAAAGGAAAAGAGAGAGGGAGAATAAATTGAAAAAACAGAGGGAAAAGCTGGAGGAACAACAGAGAGAAGTGGAATTCATAATGTTTGGGGATCCAGGTAACATTCATTGTAGATCCTGTTTTAAGTGTTTTATAAATAAAGAGATTAAGAGTGGAATGTAGTACAGATATTTTGGGTTGTTCTACAGATAAATAAGTGCTCCTGTGTGACCCAGTACATTAGTACAGTGATGAGGGCTTCACTATTAGTGATTGAGACGGAGGTTAAAGATAGTGATTCATATGCCTCATTGCCTGTGTAATGATGATAATAATCCTTGCATTTGATATAGTATCTTATCACGTTAGTGAAACGTCTCAAAGTGCTTCACAGGCTATATTGTAAAGTGAATTGACCCTCCCCGATCCCGACCCCCATGTAATTTTGTTGTTGTTGTGTGTTTTGTGGCTGTCGTGTTCTGCCCACAAAATACAAGTGTCCCACAAACAATCCGGGATTGAGTCGCCACATGTTTTTTTGATAATATTGTCATTTAGGCAAACTATAAAGGAGTACCAAATGCCTCATCTATTCACTTTACTTCATTACAGAATTGCCTTCAAACCATCCACTGAGGCCATTTCGTCAATATTATCTGCAAGCCGAGCACTCTCCTCATGTACTTGTGCAAATAAGGTAAGAGTTCTGAGGAGCAAGGATGCGATGACCCTATATTAAAATATAATCACTAAAATATAAGACTGAGCTAAGAAAAGGGATGGGTACTCTGTTTTAATCTTCTGTTATAGATGGGTCTTTTTTACATTGTGGCACTCTTATTGCAAACTCCCTTTGTATATTATATAATGGGTTTTCTCTTATACTTGCATAACAACAACAAATTACATTTGTGTATCGCCTTTCGTTTCGGGAGAACGTCCCTACGATGGGATGAGAGAAGCCAAAATCTGAGCTTTGGCCAAAGCAGGCGTTCACTCGGTTTGCTGAGCCAAGTGTGAAATGCTGAAGCAACCAGCCACGCAAACAAATAACCCACCCTGAAGTCCTGTATGTATTTTGCAGAGAATGTATTTGTGTTAGGGGATGTACTAGTTATTTTTCTCTCTCTCTTTTCCCCTGTTAGGCAAGAATGGGATCGATATCTCGTCCCTGAAGATCACCCCGATGGCAGTTTTGTACCACATGGCTGGGTCTTTCCAGTCCCACCTTCTCACGACACGTGGGCAACAGCATTGGGACAGAGTGAGAGCTGGTGACTTGTTCACCTCCGTTCTCTGTGACTGGAAATATTTTGTATCCTGCAAAGACTCTTTCACTACAAATAAAGATGGAACTCGCATTCTGAATTTAGAGCTTTGTAAATATTTCGATGATGGTCTATCTGAATGCAGAAAACTGAAGGATTCAAACTGAGAAAATGGGCGATGGGCGATGTATAAGAGCATTGTGCGACGTCCCAACGAGAAATATTTTTTTTAAAATAAATCTATTTCAAATCCAGTCTTCATTGCCCTTTACATGCAAGTGAGCAGCAAGCAAGCATCAACCACAATTTGCACTGAATATTGTACTCAGGGGGTATCTTATTTAAACAGATGTATTGAATGATGATTCTCTAATTTAGTTCACAGTGCATTTCTGATTTGTTACAGAGAAGACACTGGTATTTCAAAGATGTGTATTTTTTCGTTTAAAAACGTGCAGAGTGAAGCCCTTGTGCTGGTTGTGTGCTCGCTTTCTGTAAGATGTGTCGATCGCTGCTGCATCCAGCAGGCGGCAGTAGCTGAGTGATCAAAGTGGGACATGTTTCACTGTTGGCAGCTGCGGTCAGGGAGGTGTGTTTGGGCAGTTAGGTTATGATGTTCCTTGACTGGCAGATCAGTTAGATTAGTGAGGACTTCTCTTTGACCGTGCCTTCAGCTCCCCTCTCGACTCTCTACTCGCTCCCTCCCTTCCCTCCCCTCACCCTGACCATTTCCCCCCACTGCTCGGGTCCCGACCCAACTGTCCAGCGCCTTGGGACGTCCTCCCGACGTGAAAGGCGCTCTATAAATTAAATCTTCTTGTTGTTGTTGAGGAGTATTTTAGGCTTAAAAAAAATATTAAGATGCTGATTAAAAATGAAGAGCCACTGTTTGCTTTTTTGGGGGAATAATCAAAATTTTGCACTAATTTAGAATGTTCAAATGCTGATAGACCTCAACGTTTACAAATCAGTACTCAATATCTGGATTCATTTTCTGTGGGGAAACAGTTGAGTATGAGGGAGATTCAGTTAATGGGCGAGTGAGTAATTATCTAACAGCCCAACGGGTTCAGTTCGGTTTGTTGCCCGCCTAATGTTGGGCAAACAAGACGATTTCCTGGAGGAGTTGGGTCTCTTGGTCCCAGTGCTGACACTGGTTCGGGCTTTTGTTTGTTTAGAATTTCATTGGGTCTGGGATTAAATATCTGGATTAAATGTAAACTGGATAAGTAAAGTCAATAGGGCTATCGATGCAACTGGAGTCCTTTCTATCTAATGGATTTTAAATGAAGAAAAAGGAGGAATGTGTTCAAATGCAGTGTATTAGTTACGTTAATGCAGGGATACTTTAAGACTCTCCTGTCCATCATAGCAAGCAGTACTAATCCGCAATCAGTCTTCCTCTGGACAGCTTCAGAATAACACACAGCGGTGGTTTCAGTGAGCAGCTACTGAACAAGAAAGACCTCGTCATATCAACAACTCGCTTCCAGAGTTGGATCTGTCACCGTAAGCCATGCTACATTTTTTTAAATGCTAGCCGACACATCTATAGACACATTATAGTTATAAGAGGCTTTTTAAAAAGGCTTATATATTTCATTTTTTCTTTGATGTTTAAGATGTTCCCTTTATTTTAATGGACTTTAATAAGACTTGTGCTCAGCTGTTGTTATGATGCAGACATGATAAGGCACCTGAAGGCCAACAGGCTGCAGTGGATTTCAGATGAAGAAATTTCAGATGAATTAACTGCTCACGTTTCAATTACTATTTGTATTCCTTTAATTTTAGTTTTTGTTCATTGGATATATAAATAGCAATTTTCAGCGTCAAAATACTGAAGTGAAATCATTTCTGCCCTGTTTACTGCCTGTTTCCAATGTCTAGCCACTGGTGCATGTTACGTCTCCTCTCCTTTCGCAGCTTAAAATCAACTGGTGGGGAGTCATTACGATGCTCAACTCTTGTCAAAGCCACCTGAGAAAATATCAAGCTGCCTGCCTTAAAAGGAGAGATTTTTAGAAGGATTTGTTTCTCTTCCAATTTTGTAATGTGAGGAAACGGGCTGCAATAATGGGGAAGGAATGGAATGTGCTTTGCAAAACAATTATCAGTGCAACTGGTAATAACAGCAGATTTAATGAGAGAGAGAGAGAGTTTCTTAAGTGATTTCATGTTTTCCACAACACTCAGTCTGTGACTCAGTGTATAAGTGGACTGGCACGTATTGATACCCACCACCTCCCACCCACTTTTAACGGCTCAAAAGTTACTCCCTTTTAACCTACGTGCAGTCAGTTTGTCAATTCCTTTTTATATACAGTATCAAAAAAAGCTGCTGTGAATTTTTAAAAGTACTGGAATCTAGCAAGTTGGAGCAGTAACCCAACTTAGTGTTAAAAAAGATGCATCTTTTGGGTATGAGAGCTGCACTCTGTATTGGACAATGCAGGAAAACAAAGCTTGGTTTTAGATAAAATCGTAACCTCCCTTTCAGAAATCTACCTGACTGAAAAGGCTGTTAAATTATTACTATTATAATAATAATCCTTGCATTTGATACAGCACCTTACTGCCTTCACAGAATATGTTGTAAAGTGGATTCACTGTGTATGTTGTGGGCGAAACATGTCTAGAAATGCAGAAAAATGACCCATTGTGTTTAACGTGGATGCTTTGGATTCGGGGCATGTTTGTGATCACTGATCATTGCACAGTGAAGCTTATTTGTTTACATCCCTCTACCCACCCCCTCCCCCCTGATCTGCTTACTGGTGACATTTGACCACATCAGACAAAGCTGTCCCATCTAGTCTGGTGACGTGCCCAAGAGGAATAATCTTTCCATTGCTAATCCAGTCAGTCTGACTCACGCCATTATCAGAGGATGAGTTTAATTATAAACCCCATCCAGTGAACAACACAAGCGATCGGCACAACCCCGTCTGACTACGTGCGCAGGTCCAAGTAGTTAATTGATGTGATTAAATACAACCCAAGAATGAATAGATCATTAGCAATAATGTTCACAATCTTCTGTAGCATGCACCAAGGCAGAATGGCAACAGCTTGATTTGATACAATAATAATCCTTGCCCTTGATAACGCATCCTATTCCATCATCCAAAATGTCTCAAAAAGCGCTTCAGAGGTATTACACTGTAAAAGATAGCGACTGTGTATTTGTAGGCAAATGTGGTTGCCAATTTGTGCACAGCAGTGTCCAGCGAATTAACAATTTTGATCTGGAGAATTGGTTGCCAACAAACTGGGAGAAACTAGTTTCTGGTTTCTATTCAAGGGATTTTTCCTTCTCTAACCGTGGGATAGTCAACCAAATATTGAGTTTGTTACCCTTTGCAACATTCATTGATCAGTGGTTGATGTTTATTTTTCTTCCTTTCAGATTGTACTTGGGGTGAAATAATGAGCAGCTCAGAAGCTGAGGTGTACAGTAGCGTGGGTAAGTGATTCAGATATTATTAATGTCATTTTATTATGAGTGGATTACGCAAACATGACTGAATAGCAGATTGCACAGTTATGGTTTCATGCTGTAATGTTTCATGAGGTAAATCTTGTTCGATGGGATTCTGGAGATTTGTGTTACGTGTTGTGTTCGTGTATATGAGGGAGGAACTCTGACCCGATTAATTAATCCATTGTTGATCATTTTAACTATCTAGGTGGATCGTCGAGCTGTTTGGAAGAAATATCCTTTAGAATTTCTGCAGCACTGGAGAATAACTCTGCAGAAGAACGTGTGGTAATTTCCCCTCTGCCAGATATCTGCTTGACTCATTGCTTTGAGATATTGACGCAAACGCAGGTAATATGTCAAGGCTGAGACATATAAGACTGAGCTAAGAAAAGGGATGGGTACTCTGTTTTAATCTTCTGTTATAGATGGGTCTTTTTTACATTGTGGCACTCTTATTGCAAACTCCCTTTGTATATTATATAATGGGTTTTCTCTTATACTTGCATAACAACAACAAATTACATTTGTGTATCGCCTTTCGTTTCGGGAGAACGTCCCTACGATGGGATGAGAGAAGCCAAAATCTGAGCTTTGGCCAAAGCAGGCGTTCACTCGGTTTGCTGAGCCAAGTGTGAAATGCTGAAGCAACCAGCCACGCAAACAAATAACCCACCCTGAAGTCCTGTATGTATTTTGCAGAGAATGTATTTGTGTTAGGGGATGTACTAGTTATTTTTCTCTCTCTCTTTTCCCCTGTTAGGCAAGAATGGGATCGATATCTCGTCCCTGAAGATCACCCCGATGGCAGTTTTGTACCACATGGCTGGGTCTTTCCAGTCCCACCTTCTCACGACACGTGGGCAACAGCATTGGGACAGAGTGAGAGCTGGTGACTTGTTCACCTCCGTTCTCTGTGACTGGAAATATTTTGTATCCTGCAAAGACTCTTTCACTACAAATAAAGATGGAACTCGCATTCTGAATTTAGAGCTTTGTAAATATTTCGATGATGGTCTATCTGAATGCAGAAAACTGAAGGATTCAAACTGAGAAAATGGGCGATGGGCGATGTATAAGAGCATTGTGCGACGTCCCAACGAGAAATATTTTTTTAAAAATAAATCTATTTCAAATCCAGTCTTCATTGCCCTTTACATGCAAGTGAGCAGCAAGAAAGCATCAACCACAATTTGCACTGAATATTGTACTCGGGGGTATCTTATTTAAACAGATGTATTGAATGATGATTCTCTAATTTAGTTCACAGTGCATTTCTGATTTGTTACAGAGAAGACACTGGTATTTCAAAGATGTGTATTTTTTCGTTTAAAAACGTGCAGAGTGAAGCCCTCGTGCTGGTTGTGTGCTCGCTTTCTGTAAGATGTGTCGATCGCTGCTGCATCCAGCAGGCGGCAGTAGCTGAGTGATCAAAGTGGGACATGTTCCACTGTTGGCAGCTGCGGTCAGGGAGGTGTGTTTGGGCAGTTAGGTTATGATGTTCCTTGACTGGCAGATCAGTTAGATTAGTGAGGACTTCTCTTTGACCGTGCCTTCAGCTCCCCTCTCGACTCTCTACCCCCTCCTCGCTCCCTCCCTTCCCTCCCCTCACCCTGACCATTTCCCCCCACTGCTCGGGTCCTGACCCAACTGTCCAGCGCCTTGGGACGTCCTCCCGACGTGAAAGGCGCTCTATAAATTAAATCTTCTTGTTGTTGTTGAGGAGTATTTTAGGCTTTAAAAAAATATTAAGATGCTGATTAAAAATGAAGAGCCACTGTTTGCTTTTTTGGGGGAATAATCAAAATTTTGCACTAATTTAGAATGTTCAAATGCTGATAGACCTCAACGTTTACAAATCAGTACTCAATATCTGGATTCATTTTCTGTGGGGAAACAGTTGAGTATGAGGGAGATTCAGTTAATGGGCGAGTGAGTAATTATCTAACAGCCCAACGGGTTCAGTTCGGTTTGTTGCCCGCCTAATGTTGGGCAAACAAGACGATTTCCTGGAGGAGTTGGGTCTCTTGGTCCCAGTGCTGACACTGGTTCGGGCTTTTGTTTGTTTAGAATTTCATTGGGTCTGGGATTAAATATCTGGATTAAATGTAAACTGGATAAGTAAAGTCAATAGGGCTATCGATGCAACTGGAGTCCTTTCTATCTAATGGATTTTAAATGAAGAAAAAGGAGGAATGTGTTCAAATGCAGTGTATTAGTTACGTTAATGCAGGGATACTTTAAGACTCTCCTGTCCATCATAGCAAGCAGTACTAATCCGCAATCAGTCTTCCTCTGGACAGCTTCAGAATAACACACAGCGGTGGTTTCAGTGAGCAGCTACTGAACAAGAAAGACCTCGTCATATCAACAACTCGCTTCCAGAGTTGGATCTGTCACCGTAAGCCATGCTACATTTTTTTAAATGCTAGCCGACACATCTATAGACACATTATAGTTATAAGAGGCTTTTTAAAAAGGCTTATATATTTCATTTTTTCTTTGATGTTTAAGATGTTCCCTTTATTTTAATGGACTTTAATAAGACTTGTGCTCAGCTGTTGTTATGATGTAGACATGATAAGGCACCTGAAGGCCAACAGGCTGCAGTGGATTTCAGATGAAGAAATTTCAGATGAATTAACTGCTCACGTTTCAATTACTATTTGTATTCCTTTAATTTTAGTTTTTGTTCATTGGATATATAAATAGCAATTTTCAGCGTCAAAATACTGAAGTGAAATCATTTCTGCCCTGTTTACTGCCTGTTTCCAATGTCTAGCCACTGGTGCATGTTACGTCTCCTCTCCTTTCGCAGCTTAAAATCAACGGTGGGTGAGTCATTACGATGCTCAACTCTTGTCAAAGCCACCTGAGAAAATATCAAGCTGCCTGCCTTAAAAGGAGAGATTTTTAGAAGGATTTGTTTCTCTTCCAATTTTGTAATGTGAGGAAACGGGCTGCAATAATGGGGAAGGAATGGAATGTGCTTTGCAAAACAATTATCAGTGCAACTGGTAATAACAGCAGATTTAATGAGAGAGAGAGAGAGTTTCTTAAGTGATTTCATGTTTTCCACAACACTCAGTCTGTGACTCAGTGTATAAGTGGACTGGCACGTATTGATACCTACCACCTCCCACCCACTTTTAACGGCTCAAAAGTTACTCCCTTTTAACCTACGTGCAGTCAGTTTGTCAATTCCTTTTTATATACAGTATCAAAAAAAGCTGCTGTGAATTTTTAAAAGTACTGGAATCTAGCAAGTTGGAGCAGTAACCCAGCTTAGTGTTAAAAAAGATGCATCTTTTGGGTATGAGAGCTGCACTCTGTATTGGACAGTGCAGGAAAACAAAGTTTGGTTTTAGATAAAATCGTAACTTCCCTTTCAGAAATCTTCTACCTGACTGAAAAGGCTGTTAACTTATTACTATAATAATAATAATAATCCTTGCATTTGATACAGCACCTTACTGCCTTCACAGAATATGTTGTAAAGTGGATTCACTGTGTATGTTGTGGGCGAAACATGTCTAGAAATGCAGAAAAATGACCCATTGTGTTTAACGTGGATGCTTTGGATTCGGGGCATGTTTGTGATCACTGATCATTGCACAGTGAAGCTTATTTGTTTACATCCCTCTACCCACCCCCTCCCCCCTGATCTGCTTACTGGTGACATTTGACCACATCAGACAAAGCTGTCCCATCTAGTCTGGTGACGTGCCCAAGAGGAATAATCTTTCCATTGCTAATCCAGTCAGTCTGACTCACGCCATTATCAGAGGATGAGTTTAATTATAAACCCCATCCAGTGAACAACACAAGCGATCGGCACAACCCCGTCTGACTACGTGCGCAGGTCCAAGTAGTTAATTGATGTGATTAAATACAACCCAAGAATGAATAGATCATTAGCAATAATGTTCACAATCTTCTGTAGCATGCACCAAGGCAGAATGGCAACAGCTTGATTTGATACAATAATAATCCTTGCCCTTGATAACGCATCCTATTCCATCATCAAAAATGTCTCAAAAAGCGCTTCAGAGGTTGTACTCTAAAAGATAGCGACTGTGTATTTGTAGGCAAATGTGGTTGCCAATTTGTGCACAGCAGTGTCCAGCGAATTAACAATTTTGATCTGGAGAATTGGTTGCCAACAAACTGGGAGAAACTAGTTTCTGGTTTCTATTCAAGGGATTTTTCCTTCTCTAACCGTGGGATAGTCAACCAAATATTGAGTTTGTTACCCTTTGCAACATTCATTGATCAGTGGTTGATGTTTATTTTTCTTCCTTTCAGATTGTACTTGGGGTGAAATAATGAGCAGCTCAGAAGCTGAGGTGTACAGTAGCGTGGGTAAGTGATTCAGATATTATTAATGTCATTTTATTATGAGTGGATTACGCAAACATGACTGAATAGCAGATTGCACAGTTATGGTTTCATGCTGTAATGTTTCATGAGGTAAATCTTGTTCGATGGGATTCTGGAGATTTGTGTTACGTGTTGTGTTCGTGTATATGAGGCAGGAACTCTGACCCGATTAATTAATCCATTGTTGATCATTTTAACTATCTAGGTGGATCGTCGAGCTGTTTGGAAGAAATATCCTTTAGAATTTCTGCAGCACTGGAGAATAACTCTGCAGAAGAACGTGTGGTAATTTCCCCTCTGCCAGATATCTGCTTGACTCATTGCTTTGAGATATTGACGCAAACGCAGGTAATATGTCAAGGCAAAACAGTTCAGTTCCTTTTCTCTTAGTGTAAATCCATACTGCATATACAAAGCATCAGTCTGATAATAATCCTTGTATTTCATACCTTCTGCTTCGGGAGGACATTCACAAAATGCTTTACAGGATTTACTGTAAAATGTAATGACCGTGGATTTTTGCAGGTGAACGTGGCAGTCAATTTGTACCCAGCAATGCCCCACAAACAGCCATTAAGTGAATGACCAATTTTATCTGGAGGATTGTTGGCAGGACACTGGGAGGAAAAACTCTTGTTATCCTTTCAGATCATGCCATGGACATTGATTCAGGCCAACATCTCGTTGCTGGCTTTTTGAAAGAGCAATCCATTCAGTCCCATTTACCTGAGATTCCACTGATGTAATGCGCGGGGGGGGGGATTGAGAGATACAGGTTATTTTTAAACACAAAATGACTAATGCAACCAAAAGCATGTTTGACACAAACATAGATTGCAGGACACGAAGACGTGAATAGAAAATCCAATGAATCTTTAGAGAGTTCCAGATTTACCAAAGAACCTTAAGGAAAGTAGATAATAAGGAATGACCCTGACCAGCAAGATTAAGTGACAGAATATTAAAGCCTTGGAACAGGGCACTCAACCAATAGGAAAGGCGTATATAACCCTAATCTGCAGGTTCCTTAGATAACGTGAGTTTTTGTGGACGAATGGCTTAGCAGCTGTTCCACTAAAGCCTATGTGATGTAAGGACACTAAGCCCCTGCATACAGCAGGACCAAGAAGCTAATCAAATGGTGTAAGCAGATTGTTGTTTGCTTCTTGGAAACCGAATGATTCAACTTACTCCAGCTGGTGACCCCAACAAAGCGGCTTTGCTGTCACGTACGCTGGCACCTCGTGGCTGTTGAACACTACCCCCCCCCCCCCCACATGAAGGGCACTATATAAATGGGCCATCGGTTTGAAGTGGAAGTAGTCACATGCACACTCGCTCTTCCCCACTCAGCCCTGGCTGGTGCACATCTGTGGAGCGTGGAAGGTGTTGGCATATGATTACTGTCTGCTAACTGCTGGCCAGACTCTTCAAGGAGAAGGGGTTGTCTTGCAATGTCCTGGCCAACAATCCCCCAGTTAATAAAACTTGGCCATTCACATCATGGCTGCGGTGTGCAGATTGGCCAGTGCCTTCGCTTGCAAAATGTATAGTCACTTTACAATAAATCCCGTGAAGTGCTTTGAGATCTTCCAACAATATAATCAGGTGCTGTATTTTAATGTTGTTTGTTTTAAAAAAAAATTTGGTCATTCATTTCAACAACAAGAACAACAAAATTACATTTGTATAGTGCCTTTCACGTCGGGAAGACGTCCCAAGACACTGATCCATGTGGGACACGACCAATCCACTTTCCAGTAAATCCTGTGAAGTGTCTTGAGATGTCTCGATGATATAAGGTGCCATCTCAAGTGCAAGGATTATTATTAATCTTTCTTTCCTGCAGTCTATAAATGTCATGTTATTTTCCTAGGAGTTTGTCCTCTGCTAACCTGAAATAATTTGATTAGGCTGAAGGGATATTGTGCCAGTGTAAAGCTTTTGAAGGAACACTTTGATCTGATAGCAATTTTAAGTCTTATTTGGAATGGCTTACATTGCGATTTAACCTGTAAATATTTGAGAGTTAAATCAGTGCTATTTTTGTGACTTTGTATTCCAGCAGGGTTCAAAGTGTGTTTCTCACTCTAAAAAAAATTCCCTTCTTTGAAGAGGAACAGAACGTGATTAAGTGTTGTTGGATTATTGATGGTATTTAAACGTGAAAGATTTTGTTTACAAAAAAGATTGCTGCCACTGCCTCCTGTACGTTCTTGCCTAAGGGGGTGCAGATAAAACTAGTTTAGTAATGTTAAATGAATAACTTGTGGCCTTGAAAGGTGTTGATTACTTTTGTTCCTCCAAAAACCCCCTGTAGCGTAGTGGTTCAAGCGCTCGCGCCGCAAGTGAGAGGACCCGGGTTCGATTCCGGGGAGGGACGAAATGAAACCTTAGGCAAGTTTCCTTACTACACACGCCTCTATTTACCTGGCAGTAAATAGGAACCCGGTTGTTGGTTGATTGACAGATCGTTTTCCGGGGATAATAACTCATAGACATTAATAATAACTCAAATTATCTTTGAAAACTTTTTTTTGTGGGGTGGGGGGGGGGATCGGAGGGCGAAGAGGTGGCGGGCGTAAGTCAAACGAAGGCCTAATTCCGTTGTTGAGTGAAGTCGGTGTATTGTGTGCGATCTCTTGCAGTATGACTTCTCTCTGGAAAAGGAGGTGTTGGAGTGGATCAGAGAGCGCGGGGTGACGGAGCGGGTCAGGGCTGTGCCCACGTGCCCGCCCTTCTGGCTGGCCTTCCCCGATCCCGAGGAGGAAAGCTCCGAGGATCCGAACGACGACAGCCCCTGCGATTACTCCAAGGCCATGAGAGGCCACGTGATTCTGCAGACCCGCAGGTGCCGGAGTTTCAGCGTGACCGACGACCGCCACATTCGCCCCCGGGTCGCCTACATCTCGTCAGAGAGCGACGACGGTTACTCGGAGGACGACGAACTCTCCTCCTCGGACGAGAGCGAGGACAAGAAGTTCAAGCTTCCCTCAGTGCCCATCCCCAGAGTCAAATGTAATTCATACTCCAGGCTGCTGGACGGCAGGCCAGCCTCCTCGCCTTTCTTGGACAGCGCTTCGCGGAGTAAATACTGTGAGAAGCACCGGAACGTCAACGTCACCAGACTCCCCCACATCTATGGGCTGAAGATGTCGACTCACTCGAGCGGCACAGACGCCGAGCAGGAGGTGGGCAAGAGATGCAGCCCCAGTTGGCTGCAGGACCATCATCATCACCACCAACAACAACAAGCGCCCAAGAAACTTTACCGCAAATCCTTCTCTCAACTCCAGCCCAACAGGAACAGCAAAAACCCATTCATGCCGCAGTTCGGATCTGGAAGTCCTCCTCTCGCCTTCACCCGGCGACACCTGGCCAGGTCTTCCCCGCCCAGCCCTATAGCCCCCATTCGAAGACACAAGCCGCCAATCCCGGTGAGAGCTCCCGATCACCACTGCCCTGAGAATTCAATCCAGATCTCAATATCCGTGCCTCCCGGCTTGGCTAGAACAAGCGCTCTGGGACACCGCCCTGCGTGAAGGGTGCTAGATAAATGCATGTTGTTGTTGTTGTTTTCCATGAGCCACAATCTGCTTCCTCATTGTTACAATACTTAGAAACCTGTGGGTTTTGGGTGGGAAGGAGGAGGGGTAAAGATTTGATTGTCTTGCGGACAACAATCTAAAATACTGCAAGATGATTATCGTTCAGCCGAAGGACGTTGTGAGGAAAGTAACCAATGCTCTGTTTACTTTGGGAACCCAAATAGCACAAGTAATCTGATCACAATGGGAATAGCCCAGGGTAAGGGCCCTTCTGACCTTGAGATTGAGGAATGTGATGGTTGCAGAGAGGGACTGGGAATAGCTAATAGCTAGTAGACTGTGAAACAAACCCCTCGCTGGGCAAAAATAAACCAGATTCTTTTATAGATCCATTGCTCTCGACAGCTTGTCTATTCTTGTGCCTCTGTTCTGAAGGTTTGTTTTCGCTCTGCTCTTTTCCAGTCTCTCAGCCCTTACTCTTGCCTTCCGGCGCCTCCATCAACCTCGAAGCCTTTAGATTCTCACAAACCTCTCCCAGACTCTTACTCTGACCTGCTGCTGGCACTGAGCCAAAAAGAGCAGGAGCTCATCCAGACTGTTGTAGATCGGGGCTATCCTATCAGGAGAGTCATTTGGGCCATCCAGAACATTGGACAACGGAGTACACAACAGGTTGGTGACTCATCTGTTAACTGGTAACGGGGGGGAGCGGGAGAGGGAGGGGGATGGGAGGGGGGAAGAGAGATGGGGGGGAGGGAGGGAGATGGGAGTGGGAGGAGGATGAGTGGGAGGAGCAGAGGGGAAGAGGGAGAGGAGGAGAGGGAGAGCAAGGCCACCAATAACCAACCCATCCAGCCCTTGTGGCCAAACAAGGAGCAAGGAAACCAGAGAGCCAGGCACCAGACCAGAAACCTCTCTTGATTCACAATCATTTAACCTCTCAGCCAACGTCCAACACTGAAAATAGTGACGAGAGACAACAAAAGGGGAGAATCTAAATTAGCGAATGTTAATCACAATAAATATCTATCGGAGCAGCTCTGGTCCCTTAAGAACCATTTTTCTTGGCTTTATTTTTAATTTTTAAGAACAGAGAGTCCTGCATAAATAAATATTTGCCCCAAACACACGATTTTATAAATGGGATCAACACCTTGAATTGTGTGATTTTAAAACCCTTTGAGCTTTGTAGACATGCACTCCTCCAAGGCAGTAAATAAGAAATCTCTAACTGTGTTGCAGTCTCAGGTTTTGATAGTTTGATATTATAGGAGTCCCGTGGAGTAGTGGTTAGAGCGTTTGCCTCACTACCAAGAGGACCCAGGTTTGATTCCCAGGCAGTGCGAAGCCTTAGATAAGCTTTCTTACTCCACACAGTCTCTGTTTACCTAGCAGTAAGTAGGAACCCGGTTGTTAGTTGATTGCGGATCACTTACCGGGGGTAATAATCCCTAAAAAGCAAAAAAAAAGAGAAAAAAATTGGGTCACTCAATCCACGACTGTGTGGGGGACACTGCTGTGCGCCCACAAAACACACAGTCGATTTGCTTTACGGTGTATTCTGTGAAGCGTTTTGAGACATCTCAATGACGTGATAAGACGCTCTATCAAAATGCAAGGATTATTATTATTACTGCTCTCTATGTGCGGAGAGTTTCTTTTTTAGTTCTGTCTTTTAACTGACTGATTATGTGTCAGATTGTGGCTTACCTGAGTGCCTGGGACCGACTGTGCAAGGAGGGCTATGAGGAGCCTCTGGTGGAAGAAGCCTTGGAGATATTCCAGAACTCGGAAGCAAAGGTCAGAGAGTGTGTTCCTCATTGGTGCATTTGCTCCTTAACAGGAAATTCGCCCGCAAAATACACACTCAATTCACTTGACAGTATATTATATGAAGCGCTTTGAGACGTCTCAATGACGTGATCACATAAAATACAAGGATTAATATTATTATTTACTTTGTGATGGTTGGAAACGAGATTTGCCTCGGTGTGCTGATTGGGATTTCCTCTCCCTATTTTGAGAGTTTGCAAGACTCGTCCAAAAGATTAATTGTGACGCCTGAAAATCGATAAAAGTCCTCAAACAGAACCCTCACACACACACTGGCCAGTGGATCCAGCAGCAAGCACTCCCTACATGGTATTCGCAAACTGAAAGGTGCAATTAGTACATCAAATCTGGTTTGCGAAAGTCGCAAATAACACCACAATCTATTTAAAATACAGCCAACTACACTTTACAATAAACCTTGTGTTGAAAGCGCTTTGAGACGTCTCGACAACGTGATAAGGCATGACATTAAATGCAAGGATTATTGTGTTACAAAACAGGAAGGGTGTCTGCAGCCAGAACATAGGACACCCGTAAGAAACCGCTTGTTACTGCAATGGGGTTGGCATTCAGCAAAGATGAAATCAAATGGGCCAAAGGGTTCTTCTTCATCCAAACCTCTTATGTGGTGTTCTTCTGAACTGTTTTCACCTCTCGTGACCTCTCTCTTACTCGCCCTTTTCATGACTGCAGGCGGCAGAATTCCTGACTCTGGTGACGCAGTTCAATGAGATGGGGCTTCCAACACGAAGATATCAAGGAAGTTCTTCTCGTCCACAACAACCATCAGGGGAGAGCACTGGAAGAGCTCATGACACGATCCTGATCACTACAGCCTGAACTCTGCTGTGTCGTGTTCAGTAAATACAATACAAATTACATTGTAAAGCACCTTTCACGTCGGGAGGACGTCCCAAGGCACTGGACGGACAGTCAGGGATTTAATTAACTTCACTTAATTAAATGTACATTCAATAGTGGGATCCAACCTCCCGGGATTTAACATTAATCCCTGTGTACAAACTTTTTTTAAAAAAAAACTACTCATTGTTATTGTACTGTGTGAGTGTTTTCTGAAAGCAAAGCTATTTTAACATTTCAAAAAAAGTATTTGCATTTGAAAAAATGAGCTGCTGCTGCTGTGTTTATCCAATGCATTTAATACGGAAACATATCCAGCACCGGATCCTATTTACATTGGTTTCATATGAGTAAAGACTGAATAGAAATGATTACAAAAACATTGATGTACAGTCTCTAGAGCTTCTGTTAAAGTCTCATAAAGCAAACCATGTTCATTTCAGCAAGTAGCTGGTGGGCATTTATGAGAAGCCAATCTTCTATAAATGTAATTTTATTGTGGTTCTGTTTTTTTTAATGTTTAAGTACGTTCAGGTTTTTGGATGCTGGGAAAGCCAGTTATGTGGATTGTAAACATTGATGTAGGTTGTAAATGAACTGTTCAAAGCAGATTTACTGTAAAGAAAAATGTTCCAGCCTTTTGATGCAGTTTCAATTGTTTGCATGACCGACTGTGCTGTTACGGTGGTGAATGGATGGTCCCTAGTTTCCACAGGAAAGCTGAATGTACCCTGGCCTTAATCATGGGGAGTGGATGTCTTCAATGACCAAGGCTTTCACCAGCCACAAACAAAGGCAAACCGTAGCAGAACTTCAAAAGCCAGGGTACGTTAAAAGCTGAGCTGAAATGGTTCCTCAAAAACTTGTATTTATTTTGGCTGCTATGATCACTGTGCTCTATGCTGTGTGAGAGCTAGGGCTTTAGTTATAAAACTACATAAGTTTCAAACTTTGTTACTTTGCAGTTAAATTTAACTAGTTTTTTTTCAGTGATTGTGATTGTTCCAGTACTACATTGGGACTGGCTTGGAACCCTTTTACAAGCAAAACATCTTATTAGCATTAGAACATCTGGATTTAGAGAAGACGTGTAACGAGGCATTATAAATTAATAGCAGAACATTATTAATACCAAGAGCTGGTCTCTAAGCACAATGCTAATACCCCCCGGTCTTCTGCTTACTAAAAACAAGGCTTGATAATAATAATAATAATAATAAACCAATTGGAACCGAACAATATGAAGCAACTACATTGATGCATGTTTGGTGTGTTTTTGACCAAGTTCCTCTGAATCCGAGCACTCACCTGACTTTGCTTTAAGAAGTTAAATGGAAATTCAGAAAGAGCTAATGAAATAGAAGCAGGAAGTAGAAACGGATCCTGGGAATGGCACCAGGGATGAGTTGATGGTTGGAGTGTTGTAAATTGACAATAAAGGAATTATTTAATACGCCAGTGTTGTGGACAAAGGATCCTTGCACGGGGGTGGGGGGGGGGGGAAGGATGAAAACATTGGATGCCATTGCAATGGGTTGAGTTCTTCAACACCGTGGAGAATTGTAATGTGCAAGTTTGACGTTCGGGCAAAGCCTTTTTGGGTCAAAGATGCTCTTCTTTCAAATTCTGCACTCAGAATTCTACTCCCAACGGGTGACTTTCCCTCTTTCTGAAGCGTCTGTGACTCGAAAGTGAGTGACCAATTTTATTTGGGGAATTGTTGGCCAGGACACCAGGAGAGAGAAACTCTCTTCTCTTTTCGAATAGTGTCATGGGATCTTTGACGTCCACCTGAACAGGCAGATGGGACCTCGAAATAACATCACATCGGAAGGATGGCACCTCTGACAATGTGATACCCCCAGCCCCACCCGGCACTGTATTGGAGAGTCATTTTAGACTGTGTGATTCCAAGTCCCAACGTGGGGCTTGAACCCACAACCCTTCTGACTCAGAGACGAGAGCACTACCACTGCGCCAGGCTGACCTTCGCAAGATGGTATCTTGTTAAGAACGCACAAGTGCCAAAGCCTTAAGAGAATGTTCACAGCACTTAGCAGCATGAGGAATGCTTTGCCCTTTGTGAAATCTGACAGCGATCTCGTATCACTTCATTTAAAAAGCGCAGAGGCTGAACTGTCTGTGATGGGACTGTACGTTTCACTCTTGGCCTTGCACTGGATGTTGCATTTGCAGTGACTTAAAAGCTGAGCGTTGGAAGTACTGGAACACATCACACCACCTTCTCTTGCGCCAATCCCTCAGTGGGTAAAATACTGTACATGACCCATGATGTTTATAGTGAAGTTGCTCTCTATAGGGTTGCCTATAAGCCTTGTCCTTTTTCATGCTTGTTGGAATACAATCTGGTTTTCATCAGTTTCAGTTTGGCATATGGCTCTTTTCCCAAGTACAATTTACTGGTTGTTGACTGATTTAACACAGTATTGTAAAACTTCATATCCCCTGCATCTGAAGGGGTGGGGGTGGGGGGGAAGAATAATTTTATAAACTGAGATTGCCGACACAACGCGTGAGATGACTTTATTTGGGGGGAAAAAATGTTTTGCCCACAAAATATAAGGTTAATTCACTTTACAGTGTATTCGGTGAAGTGCTTTGAGACGCGATGTCTCAACAACGTGATAAGGTGCTATATCAAATGTACTACAGCATTATTAATAATATAAGTATTATTATTAACACGGTAAAATGGCCTGCAGTACAATATAAAAATTACAATACAAAATACATTGGTATAATGACTTTCACATCGGGAGGACATCCCAAAGCTCTGCAGTAGGCTAAGAGGTTGCAGCCCGTCTGTTTTCAGATAACCACAGGGGCAAAACTCCGACGTCAGTTTAGAGAGAATCATAATCATCACTGTAGCTTCTCACAGGAAGACGTTTATACAAGATGAAAATACTCTGGGAACTTTATTACACAACTGCTCTGACACTGGCCTGGGCTCACACTAGCCGTTCCCCAGTGATTTTGCTGCTGATTAATTTCCTGGTAAACGGGGTAAGCTTCGTGTGGGAAAGCAGTAGTGCTTTTGTTAACCATTCATGTGAATGGGCTGACTGTGGCGCCATGTAATTACACGGTGTATAACCCTGACTATGATATACACAACCCTTGTCCTGCTGAATAAGCAACATCCTGCAGTGTACGTTTTGTGCTCAATAAAATACACTTTGTTTAGGAAGGATCTCCATGCTGGGCTTTGGCATGATTGCAGTGCCCCAATAATGCACTGTAACTCACACTTTCTTCTTTGACCATCACCTCCTCCCTCCCCCTGGCTCGGCATCAGGCTTTGCCGCTGTAAACCGCTCCGAGACGCTGCCCCCGAGTGAAGAGCACTATATAAATGCAAGTTGCCGCTTGAACAATCCACGATTCGGAGCGAGTCCAACAACAAACTCGCGTTTGTACAGCGATTACCTTTCACGTAGGGTAACGTCTAGAAGCTTTTCACATAATCCCACACCCAAGCAAATGGCACCTCCACTTCCCACCTCACTGGGATGGACTGAGTGGCAGCCTATGTAGGCTTACGCTGTACTGTACAGCCACATCTACAGGACCTCCTGAATTTATTTGAAGTGTTGGCTACAGAGACAACTGGTGATCATTCCAGGCAGTATTCAAATCCACCTCCCAGAGGTCAAACTGTTCCCATTTAAACCCATTTAGAACAGCCCTGGGTGTGCAGAACATTACCCGCATTATCACCTTGGCTCAGTTAGTGGTGCTCTTGTCCCTGGGTTGCATGGGTGTGGGATTAGGTTGGGTTTGAGCTCGTAGTCTAGGCTGAGACTCCAGTGCGGTTCTGGGGGGAGACCTGCATTGTCACAGGTGCTGTCGTCCTTCAGATGAGTGAATCGTGGGTATTGCCACATAATATCCCAGTGATAGAGCCATAACCGTAGACACGCATAAGACAACACAGCTTCAAGCATATCCGTCTGATACTTGAGAGGAACTTTCCAACGGTGATCAGGTTCCAATGGTCAAACCAACAGTTCACCACTCTTACCAGTAGAGGACGGTGCTCTCAGCCTCCAGCACAGAACTGGTTGGAAACCAAACCGTCCTGATAAAGATTTTAATTTGCTTTCCACTGTTGCTGTTTTGATCGAAGATACTCAAGCTGTTCGTTTTGCTCTGAAACTGGCTGACGGTGCATCGGATTCTCACGAGTTCGACCGATTTACAACCGTGCACTCGCATTGCCCTCTTTAACTGTTTCCTTTCTCTTGAAGAGTAGCTTTGAAAACCGAAAAGTGAAGGTTTCAAATGCCACCAATGTGTTCAGTTGGGTATTAATCGGTTGGAAAGATATGTTACCAAACACCCCAGCTCTGTGAATATAGTCCCTGCCACTACACACAGAAACTATTATGTTCCAAATGTTTCTTTAGGAAAGATCTTCCCTTCCTATTTTTCTCTTTTTCTTTGTCTCCTTCCTCCTTGCCTCCTGCTCCACAGATTTGGACACCATGCCTGACACGCATGGAATCATAGCCCAGTAGGAGGGAGAGGAAACAAGTCAACAACAACAACATGCATTTATGTAGCTCCCTTCATGCAGGACGGCTTATCAGAACGCTTAACAGTGGCGGAGCCTGATGCCGAGCTGGGGGAGAGAGGAAGTGGTTGTAAGCACAGTCGAAGAGGAAGGTCTTCAGTCGTGATCTGAAAGAGGGGAAAGAGTTGGGGGGGGGGCGGTAGGGGGAAGATCAAACACTTTCAGGAGGGGAGAGGAGGGGAGGAAATCAGAGGAGGAGAACGTAGCTTTTCTTTTCAAAAACGATAGAGATCACGCATAATGCATTTTTTTAAATGTGAAACAGACCCTTCGATCTAATCAGACATGGTCTATATGATGGCTAGTTATTAATGTCATTAGTTGATGATTGCGTAAATTGCTGGGCTGCATATTTGCCTTGATAATAATAATAATAATAATAATAATCCTCGTTTTTGATACAGCGCCTTTCACGTCAGGAGGACAATGTCGATAGTGAGGGTGAACATCGTTTAATGAGTGGCTCGAGCCAATATTTTAGTTAAAACACTGCAGTCCTGCTAAATCTGATTCCACAAACACTGTTTAGAGCTGTTTAGATTTATGGTTTCTCATACAACAGACCTTCGCCGAACCGGTACACATTAAAGGTTACAGATCCTATCGGAGCTGGTCTGCTCGCACGGGAATTTTAGTACTTGGTGCTGGCAGATGACTGGAATTCCCATTCCATCAGCTCAGGCAGGAGAACTGTTACAATCACGGAAGGCAGAACCAGGCCGGGAAACCTTTGGTATAAGACGGAATTTTTTTTGTTTTGTTTCTGCATCACAACTGCTTAAATGTTTCGAATACGTGTCCCCAACCCCTAGGCATTAGCCTGTGGGTGAAAGGGAATATGCAGAGGGTGGAAAGATTTGTCCATCTAAGCACCGATTTGGTTCACTGTATAATAATGATGTATAACAATCCTTGCTTTTGATGTAGCTCCTTATCACGTCATTGAGAAGTCTCAAAGCGCTTCACAGAATATACTGTAAATTGAATTGACTGAGTATATTGTGGGCGAAACGCAGCAGTAAGTAGGAACCTCCTTGTTAGTCAATTGGCGGATCACTTTCCGGGAATAATAATGCCCCTCTAAAATAAATTTGGGCACTTTGGTCAAATTTGGGCATAAAATACAAAAGTCACAAAGTTATGATGAACTTCATAAAACACTGGTAAAAAATCAGTATAAAACACTAGAGACTGTGTTCAGTTCTGGGCCACACACTTTAGGAAGGATGTCTAGGCATTGGAGAGGGTGCAAAGGAGATTTACCAGGATGGTACCAGGAATGAGGGCCTTCAGTTATCAGGAGAGGTGAGAGAAGCGAGGATTATTCTCCTTGGAGCAGAGAAAGTTAAGAGGAGACTTAATAGAAGTTTTCAAAATTATGAGGGGATTCGATAGGGTGAACAAGGAGAAACTATTCCCACTGGCGGTGGGTCGGTAACCTGAGGGCACCGATTTTAAAATAGCTGTTAAAAGAAACAGAGGGGAGAGGAGGAGAAATGTTTTCACACAGCGAGGTGTTGGGATCCGGAATGCATTGCCTGAAAGGCTGGTGGAAGCCGATTCGATAACATCTTTTAAAAGTGAAGTAGATAATTATTTGGGGAGGACGAGTTTGCAGGGCTATAGGGAGAGAGCGGGGGAGTGGGTTTGATCAGGGCTATGGGGGAGAGAGCGGGGGAGTGGGGTTGATCAGGGCTATGGGGAGAGAGCGGGGGAGTGGGGTTGATCAGGGCTATGGGAGAGAGCGGGGGAGTGGGGTTGAATTGGACGCTCTTTTCAAAGAGCGGTACAGACCCGATGGGCCAAATGGCCTCCTTCTGTGCTGTATGATTCTATGACTGTTCAGGGGACACTGCTGCGCGCAATTGGCTGCCGCGTTTCGTTCGCAAAATAAACAGTCACTCCACTTTGCAGTATATCCTGTGAAGGGCTTTGAGAACGTCTCAATGACGCGATAAGGCGCTGTATCAAATGCAAGGACTATCATTATGAAGGCAGTTCGGGGTGCAGAGCTGCGGGTCTCTGGTTGGGCAGCCTGAGTAGGAAGGTGTGCATGGACCCGCTGCGAGGAAAGCCCCTCTTCTCCTTGGCCGGCTTCCACTTGTCGTTCTGAATATCATAGACCAAGGTCAGCATTCTGTTAACCGTCAGGACCGAGTCCCCTCTGACGACCGCGGTGAACAGCGCCCCTTTGCTGTTGACGTACTGGCCGGACAGCGCGCTCCACTGGTGCCGGGTCAGGTTGAAACAGTCGATGGCGCATCTCAGGAAGTCGTCCGCCGGTCCGTTGCGCATGACGTACAGGTTGTCGGCGTGAGCCACCATGCAGTGGCCGTAACTCTGGGGCCGTCTCAAGGTGGTCACCAAGGCCCAGGTGTCCTCCGCGCACCGATACTCGTAGATATCGGTGGTGTCCATGGGGAGCCAGAGGCACACGAAGATCCGGCCCATGGCCCGGGTGCAAGCCACGCTCTCGGCCGGCCTGGGCAGGTGGGCTGCTGAGGACCATGTGCTGGTCGCCACCTGGTATCGCTCCACGGAGGCCAGAGCCACGTTCTGATACATCCCACCGAGGGCGTAAAGACTCCCGTCCTGTCCCGTCAGGGTCAGGCTGTAGCGGAGCTGCTGAGGGCAAGGGAATTCGTTCCAGCGATCCTCGGCCGTGTTGTAGCAGAAGCTGAGCTCCACCAGCCGCTTGTTGTAGGCGCAGACCCCCCCCACGATGTAGATGTTGTTGCCCATCATGGTGACGCCGGCCAGAGAGGTGGTAGCCTTGTCCGGCAAGGCCGTCAGTGTCTTCCACACATTCTCACCCTCGTCCAGGTAACAGAAGGTCCTGAACACGTCATCCAGGAAGCCCTGGGAGGGCGTGTGAGTGGCCACGGACACCAAGGTGCTAGGAGAAAAGGACTCGATGTAACTCAGCTCATCTTTGGGCAAACATCTCAGTTCCTCCCTGACGTTGGGGTAAAGATCTCTCATGAACAGAGCCGAGGCCTGGGTCAAGTCAAACAGCCCATAGGTGGCCGCTGCCTGGAACATCAGGACACAGTTACTGGAGCTGATGGTGTGCACCATGTGCTCTGACAGAGGCTTGGCTATGAGGAAAGCGGCACACTCTATCGCGTCGATGATTTCCTCGCCCGCCAGGATTGGCCTCTCGCCCGCCAGAACCTGGAGCAGGATCCTAAAGCCACGTGCTGTCAGCCCCTGCACCCGGATTTCCTGCTGGGAACATTCCCGCATTCCTGAGTCGAAAAGAGCCCGGAAGTACTCACTGCTCTCAGCCAGCATCGCCTTCTCAACAGAGAAAAGTTCCTCCTCCACTCTCACACCCAGATACCCTGCCGGCTGCATCTCCCCCAGGCCTTGCTTTAGTCAGACCCTGCGATCATAGATCACTTTCCTTGATAAACTTCTTAGAGCCGACTGGAATTGAACCTGAAGTCTGGAACCCTAGGTCTCAGGGAAACAGGTTCCCCCAACAGCACCCGGAGAGGATTGAATTTGATATTTAACGGCTCCAATTGAAGCAAAACACAACCCTATCCTACAGGCTTGTTTCCTTTTAGTTGCTTGTTTGGTTGCAATGACTGGCTGCGTACGCATTCTCTGACATTAAAGTATCCATATCACTGGCTATAGATAGCTGAGTCCTGCCTAATATATCTAACCTAGCAGGTATTTTAGAACCAACAGCCCTGTAGACTGTCCTTGCACTCGGGTCTCTAAACAAAAAACTGCGTTGAATGATGAAGAACATTTTAGAGGGATCTTAAAACAAAGGATGGCCTTAGAGCTAAGCTCTAATTAAAAGATGCTTTCTTCACAAAGACGTTTATAATAATGTGGCTCGCACTGTTCCTAGGAGATTCTTGTTGCAGTCAAATGGCATGTTTTTGAAAGGGTATTGCTCGATACCTGGGAGGAAAATGTATTAAGGTACATGAAGAAAAGGATTCAAAGGTTTACTGTGATCTAATCAACTGGCAGAACAGTTTACTTGGGGCCAAATGATTTCCTTGTTTGTAGTTTTCCTAATTATAGCAACTATTACATTGACATGAGCCAAAACTCCTCACAATCGGTTACTGTCTTGTGTTGTGACTTTTTGGAGGCGAATGAGACAACTGTTTGCACCAACACAATGCCACAAACAGCCAAGAGGTGAATGAAAAATGATTAGGAGGGAATTGTTACGCCAGCAGATGGGAGAAACTCCCTCCTCTTTTTGATTAGCAACACAGGATCTTTGAAGTCACCTGAACACGTAGACAGGACCTCGGTTTCATCCAAAGGACGATACCTCTTTGTCAATGCGGAGCTCACTCCTCGCACTGTGTCTGGACGATGTCAGTTCCAAATCCCACTTCTCGAGGCTGAGAAAATGGTGAATTCAACAGTTTCCCTTCAACATTTGGCTTCCTGACAAACCCCCATGTTGGTGTCGCAATATTGTCCGTAGCAGATGGAGCTCTCCACAGAGCACAGATAGGGGCCTAAACTGCAACAACAAAACAAAGCAGACCGCAAATATTTTGAGAGCCCAGTTCACAGTTGCGTCAAGCCTAAATAATGGATTGATAAACACAGTCGGTTCTAAATAGTTTGAGATCTCGAGACACGAGTAATGAATACATTGCTCAAGAGAAAGACCTTGTTGCCCATTTAAGACGTGCATTGCAAAGGTTAAATAAAGTTTCAGACCATATTGCTAGACTCACTTAGATTCCCATATCTCTTGGGTGCAGATATGCCCTGTTTTGTTGCACAAGACTTTATTTGGTGCACTTAGACAGACCGAGAGTCGAGCTAAATTTGGGAAATCAAAGTGTTTTCAAAGTGTTTTGACTGCACACTATTGTGATTTCGGGGTCAGGTTAAAGAAGTTAGTAAAAAAAAAAGCCCAGTTCTAGGCTCTGTAGTATAATAATAAAATAAGATTTAATCTTTGCACGCTATCATGGCACTGAAACGTGTGAATTTACTGTGGAGTCCTGTGGCGTAGTGGTTAGAGCACTCAACTCGCAAGCGAGAGCGAGGACCAGGGTTCAATTCTCAGGCGAAACCTTGGTTTAAGTTTCCTTACTCCACACGCCTCTGTTTACCCAGCAGTAAGTAGGAACCCAGTTGTTAGTCGATTGGTGGATCGCTTTTCTGGAAGTAATAATCCCTTTAAAAAATAATAATGATTTGGTCACTCAATCCACAACTGTTTGTGGGACACTGTTGTGCGCAAATATGGCTGCCGTGTTTCTCCCGCAAAATATACAGTCAATTCCTTTACCGTATATATTCCGTGAAGCGCTTTGAGACGTCTCGAAGACATGATAAGGCACTATGCCACATGCAAGGCTTATTATTAGCAGCAATAGTAGTAGTAAGGATTGACGGTGAAGTGCAGTGACAGTGTATTTAGTTGGTTCAATCGAAGAGAGAGCGCTATCAGTGAGCCAGGCTGCTGGTTATTTTGACTGGGCTACAGACACGCCTATCTCAAGACCCAATCTACACAGCTGCATGAGAGATGCCGGCAACATTGGGGTGTAATGGCATATGACTTGTGTAGTTCTGCTCCATTTAAAGCCATTATATCTGAACTTTCAGTAACTATGGTAACACCGCTTTGCCGGTGACCAGTCTGTTTTGTAGCGAGCGAGTGGATTCATCAGGTTAGGAATCAAACCTTCAAGGCTAGTTTTGACGACTCGGTGGTGATACGTTCAACTGAAGAATGATGTGTTTCTGGTTCTGTGGATTTTAATAAGGTAATAAAATATATTCAATTCATCTCCTTCCATCTTTGCTGCGGTCAATCTCCTTTAGAGTATCCAAGAACAGAGAGAGCTGGGAAAACTCAGCAGGTCAGGCAGCAGAGAAAGGAAAGTGAGTCAACGTTTCGGGTCCAGATGCTGCCTGACCGGCTGAGCTTTTCCAGCTCTCTCTGTTTTTGTTTCAGATTCCAGCATCTGCAATATTTTGTGTTTCGTCCCCCTTTTGCGGTGTATTCGGTGAAGCGCTTTGAAACGTCTCAATGCCTTGTGAAAAGGCGCTGTATCAAATGCAAGCGAAACTCGGCAGCCCATTGCGCACAGCAAAAAAAAAATGTTAGTAATAAAGATACTAGGGTTGAAATCACAATTTTTATATATGTTTAACAATGTTAAACTGCGCTGACACTTGCTCCATAGTTACACAAGGAAAGTGATATGAGAGGTCATGTCGTTGAGCACGAATGTAAAAGAGATGGGTTTGCAGTGATGTATAAACGAGTGATCTGGACAGTATTTAACAAAATGTAGGAATGCACGTCATTAATTCCTGTACATCTGTACTTCGGGGGAAAAAAATACTTTGCATTCTTTGTGAGCTGTTTCACTGGAGCTGGACATTGCTGGGGTTGGGCTTAGGAATGTCAAATATGATTGCATTTTATTTTACTTTATGTGGAACGTTAAGTGTGTTTGCAGGTCTGGTACTGTGAATTAAGTGAGAGGCTGATGGGAAATGTAACAGGACATGTAGAGGGCAAGAATTGGGCTCATTAACAAAACAAACTTCTGTATCATTTTATCAGTTATTATATTTAAAATCATTACTTACAATCCCATATCTGTGTCTGACAGACATCACTGATATCATCTCATAACATCAAATAAGTCATTAGAAAGCACTGCTGGGGTTTGGCGATATCTTTAAGAATAATCCTTGCATTTGATACGGCTCCTTATCGTGTCGTGGAGACGTCTCAAAGCGCTGCATAGAATATACTGCAAAGTGAACTGACTGTGGATTTGGTGGACGAACACGAAAGCCAAGTGTGCACGGCAGCGTCCCACAAACGGCCGCGATTTGGGCGACCGCATTTTCTTTTTTTCTAAGCCAATTTTTTTTTGGGGTGTGAGTGGGGGTTGGGTTGGGTTGTGGGGAGGAATGGGATGAACATTTGCAAGGGAGGAAACATCCAGGGAAAGAGCAGGGATTGAGGATGGAGTAAATGACAGCCAGTGGGTGAGCTGGGGGGCAGTTGAGCTGTGATGGGGTGAGATGTTAACACCAGGACCTCTTGAGATGATGATTAACCCATGTTAGAATGGAATAGGACACACAGTACCTGCATTGCAACCTTAGAGCAGCGCCCCCTACCGCACATGTGCATATTACACACACTGCAACCTCTCTGAGATGTTGGGAAGTGCAACTTTTAGTCCTTAAAGGAGGATAATAAATCCTGGGCAGGATGTTTCTTTTCCCCCCCCCCCCTCCCCCATGAGGGCAATTAAGAGGACTTGTATGCATCATTTTTTTTTACACACTTCAGGGATGGAGGGGATTGAATAGCCCCAAGTTTCACGTGCACATAGGATTTATTTATCCAGAAATGGGATGGGAGGAGAGAAAAAAGTGGGGGTGGGTGGGGGGGTGGTGAAGGAAAGGAAGAAAAAGAAGAGAAGGGGGTGGGGGGGAGAAAAAGAGAGTGAGAGAAAGAGTGGAAGAGAAGAGAGAGAGAGAGAAAGGAAGGAAGGAAGGAAGGAAGGAAAGAAAGAAAAGAAGGGAAGAGAGAAAGAGAGAGATGAAACAAGAGGACACACACACAGAGAGAGAGAGACAGAGAGAGAGAGAGAGAGAGAGATTCAGCACATCCTATTTCCACTGGTGAATTGAAATGAACAGTTAAAATTAACCAGTTCACCATCAGACAGTTTCAAAAAAAAAAATGTGGCTCCACATCCCTATTGGTGAAACAAGTCACAGGAAAGTTATAAGGGGTTAGTTTGATGAGAGAGAGAGAGAGAGAGAGAGAAAGAAAAACCACACACCATCCAGACTAATCTCTCATTGCCTGGGTTCCTGAGATTCCTGACCAGTGAGTCCAGCCATTGCTTGTGTGTTAAACCCCAGGGGCTAAAAAAAATTATTTATTATTATTTTTTTTGCTGCTGCTGCTGCTGCTGCTGAAGTCGGTGGCAGTTTTCTTGCACGTTCGAGGCACTATTTATAGTGTGTGTGCTCAGGCTGCAGCAATTTGTTGATTAGATACAGTCTCTATTTGTTATACAGATGTTCACGCAAAGGAACTCAATGCAGCTGCACTGCCTTACAAGGGATGTGGCTGTGGTTCAAACCATAATCACCAGCAGCATCTCTCTCTCTCTCTCTCTCCATCCCTCCCTCTCTCTCTCCCTCTTTCCTCGACGATTTCTTTTCGAAACTCGCATTCTGCACTTGGCAGAGCAGTGATGGAAGAGGTTGGTGGGAGGCAAAGCGAATAGAAAGCGAATGCATTGCATTTGCATCTCTTTGCATCTCCTCTGTGCGCTGTTGTGTGTTGCTTTTTCCTTCTCTCTAGTCTCTCTGCTGCTGGGAGGGATGGACAGAGATTACAGTGAAAAGAGGGAGGAAAGGAAGTGAGGAGAAGGGGAGAGAGAGAGAGAGAGAGAGAGAGATCCTCCTGAAATTGACCTGAAACCTCTCTCACCAGAGATCCCATCGCACAAGTGGGGTTTGACGATGCTCCAGTGAAGTCCAACCCAGGATGTCCCTGATGTTTGGGAAAGGCAAATCCAGTGGGTTGCTCCATTCATCCAACTCCCTGGATCGAGAGAAGAGTCTCCCAACTTCCATTCAGGAATGTAACCTTGTCATGTTGGGTTGCACTGGATCTGGGAAATCTGGTAAGAGATATTTTGGTGGGGTTTTTTTGGGGTGGTGGGTGGGGGGGGGGGGGGGGGGGGAGGTGGCGGTCAGCCGGGTGTCTTGACACATGCGAAAACCCATCACCCTTTGCTTAAGAGCGTCCAAACCGAAGCTGAGTATCATCCCATGCATCGTTCGTCCCACCTACACGTGGAAATTCCGGAGATAGATTGTTGGAATGGGACGCGCACTCTCTCTCTCTCGCTCTCTCTCTCTCCTGTTTACCCAAGAGACTGCGTCCAACAACAACTTGCATTCATGTAGGCGCCTTTCGTGCGGGTTATTTGTCCCGGAGAGCTTGGGCTTGCACTTACACTGCGTGTTTCGAGCTCTAAACTGTTCACTCACTCACGCACCTACTCACTCATGCACCCACGCACTCACCCACGCACTCACCCACGCACTCACCCACGCACTCACCCACGCACTCACCCACGCACTCACCCACGCACTCACGTACGCACTCACGTACGCACTCACCCACGCACTCACCCACGCACTCACCCACGCACTCACGTACGCACTCATTGAGATTGGTTCCATCAACACATTTTTAAATCCTAACTGGTAATTGATTATTTGTTCGTCGGTTGCACTGTTTCAAATAGCAACTTAACTTTATGGTCCTCTCCTTCGGCCCACAAAATATACAGTCAATTCACTTTACAATTATAATTCTGTCAAGTGCTTTGAGACAATGTGATAAGATGCTATATCGAACGCAAGGATTATTATTATTATTATACTCTGACTGCCTTTCGGATGATAGAAAACGCACTTCAATCTTTCTCTACCGAGTGTTGATTTCAGTGACATTGAAAATAACCCGTTGGTGTGTTGATTTTTCCTGCAGCTCTGACTGTGAAGTTTCTCACCAAAAGATTCATAAGCGAATACGATCCACACTTGGGTAAGTACAAAAGAGTGTGAGTGAGCACCATTCAATTGCGTTTTTCCACCTGCTTTGTGTGGAAATTTGATGCACTTTATGCGAGCAAATATGGACCAACTTTCTCTCCGCTCCACTGGCCTGGGTCTTGGAGCAATTATGTCAGTCAATCAGTCAGTCCGAGATGCTCTTTCACTTTGTCATCGTTGTTTATTGTGTTCCAGAGGATATCTACACTTCTGAAGAGCTGGTAGATCATCAGGCAGTCTTGGTGAAGATAATGGACACAGCTGATCAGGTAACTTGGATCTCTCTGGTGGGAGATCGGAGGGTTGTTTGAGACATTATAACACAGGGAATTTTAAACCCATTGTATGTATAATTCACTAGAGGTTGCTCTTTGCCTGTAACCACAACTACGTCAACAATTTGCATTCATACAGCGCCTTTCACATCGCAATTAAATGCCTAGCTATTTGTTTTGTTCACAACAATAACAGGAATAAATTGCATTTATACGGCATCTTTCACGTCCCAAGGTACTGAACCTTTAAACTAGACAAAGCTTGTAATCGTTAGTGACTACACAGGTAAGGAATGGGTTAACTGAGCAAATGAGAAATCCAATTTTCCAGAGAATATATCCCTTTCTTGTCGCCATCCAATTGAAGTTCAGCTGGCGTGGACTTCAAGGGGAATAACATGTGTAGTTCTGTAATTGTAAAACCAAATAAATTATAAATGAATCAACAAAAGTTAAGTCAAGATCCCATTTATCATAAAGCTTAAAAGCAACGAGACAGAGCTGGAGCAATCTTCTCCCAGGAATCTTTTTCAATAATTAAATGTTTTCTCTTTGTACTTATGCAATGTGTTGTCCTGACAATATCACTGTCTCTGTTGTGAGTTCCACAAAGAGATGCTGACCCTTGAAATTGACTTGAAACTGCATCAACCCAGAGACATGTGTGAGCCTGGCTCCGTTCATAGCATTCTTGCCTCTGAGTCAGAAGGTTGTGGGCTTGAGGCCCTATGTCAGGACTTTGAGCTCCCAGTCTAGACTGACACTCCAATGCTGTGCTGGGGTAGCACTGCATTGTCAGAGCTCACGGAGACGTTTAACCGAAGTCCCATCTGCCTGTTCGGGTTGCTGTTAAAGATCGCAAGGTGCTATTCAAACAAAGATGGGATTTTCTCTCAGGGATCTCCTAGCAATTCCCCCCAGAGAGAGAAAAAAAACTTTGTGGCTGTTGGTGGGACATTGCTATGCACAAATTGGCTGCCTACAAATACACAACATAGCCAATACACTTTACGATGCAAGAATAATTATTGATTATTATCTAATGATCTGATGTGAGCTGTTGCAAAGCTGAAGACGGACGGAAAACAGTAATGGTGCAGGCACTGGACACTTTACCTTTTAAAGTTATAGTTTCATGAGTTGCACCTGTATGTGTGTGCAGGTGATGATTTGTTTGTACGGGTTTGTCTGTCTGTCTGTCTGTCTGTCTGTGAAAATAGTCTGCAAACTACAGCTCACAAAAACAGTCATTTTAGTTTCTTTCCTCTTTAAAACACAGGACAAGCCAACAAACTCGGAACGTTACCTAAACTGGGCAAATGCGTTCATTGTGGTCTACAGCATCGATAACAGGAGGAGTTTTGAGGGTTGCCAGCAATACCTCACTGTAATTGCCAACCACACCAAAGGCCTGCCACACGACTGTCCCGTTATTTTGCTGGGCAATAAATTGGATATGGAGAGATATAGGTAAGCAATGTTTATCGTCAAAACCTTCTCAATTCCTCCTCCTCTGAAGCATTTGTTCAATTCTTCCTTCTACTGGGTTGCATCCTTAGGCACGTTTCCTTACTCTACGTGTTAGTCAATTGGCGGATGACTTTCTGCTGGAGTCAGCTGGAGTGACTGTGCTGACCATCGATAACTAAAGTTTCTATAAGGTCCTAATAATAATAATAATAATAATAATCCTTACATTTGGTAAAGCACCTCATCATGTCATTGAGATGTCTCAAAGCACTTCACAGGATATATACTGTTTCACCCACAAAGTACACAGTCAATCCACTTTATAATATATTCTGTAAAGCACTTTGAGATGTTTCAACGACGTGATAAGGTATTATATCCATTAACAGGGATTATTATTATTTATTGTTACTGTAAAGTGGATTGACAGTGTATATTGTGGGAGAAATACCTCTTTATTGTTGTACACACCTCTCTAAGCTCTTCACATCCCTGTTGTTTTCAGGCAGGTGAGCAAGGCTAATGGTGTGTCCTTGGCGTCCAAATCTAACAGCTTGTTTTACGAAGTATCTGCCTGTCTGGACTTTGAGTCTGTCCGGCACGTCTTTCACGAAGCGATACGTGAGGTGAGACGAGAGACAGAGCGCCACCTTCCCGTCAGGCCTCTCTTTATCTCGAGGAGAAGCCAGCGTTGAGTATTGCTCACCCGCCTGCCTATGCCCAGTCCCTCAAACACCACCCGGCCACGTTTGGCTCCCATGGACTGTCCACCGCCATCTACAAGGAGGTGCCCACCATCACCTCGGCCAAACTGGTCACCGTGAAGACAGCGAGGGCCCAAAGCAAGCGGAGAACTCCCACACTGACCTTACTGAAAGGCTTTAAAATATTTTAAACGTCTTGATAAAAGCTCGCCCCAGCTGATTGTGCAACTGGGATGTCACAAATTTTGATACATCGTCAGCCAAACTAACGTCATCGGGCACCAGCGGGGATCCAGACAACAACAACAAATTACATTTGTACAGCGCCTTTCATGTCGGGAGAGCGTCCCAAGGCGCTGGACAGTCAGGGATTTGGACCCGAGCTACATGCTCCCTCTTGGTGACATCAACCAAAGGTGAGGACAGGATTTTGACAGAGGGTTTGATGGATAAATTATTGCTCGGTTCACGATTTGCCCGGAGGCTGATGTTTCACTGAGAGACAAGACTTTGGGGGGGCTGTGGACAAGCTCAAACCCAGGAGATGAATTTTTCTAATAATAATCCTTGTATTTGATATGACACCTCATCAGGTCGCCCAGACGTCCCAAAGCGCTTCATAGGATATACCGTGAAGCGGATTGACTGTGTATTTTATGCCACAGTGGCCCACAAAGAGCCATGGAATGAGTGATTTTTATTTGACTACCAAAATTTTTATTTGGCAAGGACACTAATCCTTGGTGGCTTCACAGGTGGCCTTGGTGGCTTCAATCCAAGGACACCTTGCCAGCAAGAGAGAAACTCCCTTCTCTTTTCGAGTAGTGCCCCGTGATCTTTAACGTCCACCTGTACAGGCAGACGGGACCTCGGTTTAACGTCTCATCCAAAGGACAGAGTTTTTGCCCAGGAGTTAGAATTTACCTGGAAGTGGGGGTGCTATTCCCAACGCTGAGGGTTCTAGAAACACTGAACAAAGCCCCATATTTACATGCTGATCTCTGGGTTGCCACAAACTGCGTCCAAAGGTGCGTTGGGCGAAGAGAGGCTCTGAGATTGGTATTCAAGCATGTTGTGTTTGTTGGGAGAGATTTATTGTGTGTCGAGCTGACCTGGGAACGCTGAACGCTGCCTCAGTTAGAAAAAGGGCTCCCGGTGGCAATCACTCTCTTAATAGTATAAAAATAACCAAGAGATCATTTGTATTCAATGTTTAATCAAATCACTGAATTCTAATAATAATTATAATCCTGTATTTGATATAGCACCTTATCACATCATTGAGGCATCTCAAAGGGCTTCACAGAATATACTGAGCAAAACGCGGCAGGCAATTTGGCACAGTAGGTCCCACAAACAGCCGTGGATTGAATGACCACATTTTTTTCGGAGGGATTACTTCTAACAGAATCCAGGTCTCGCTGACTGGTGAAGCCTAACTTATTGTCCGTTGTCATTTTTGCTCGTCGCTTTGTTTGTTCTGTGCTTTTTAAGGAAAAAAATCCACAATTCTAAAGTTTCCTCACACCTCTCACTACATCATAGGAGATTTTAGAAAAATCAGTAGGTTATTTTGTGCTTGAAAATAATATTAATTCAATAAACGTCCAAAGTTTCGTTGCTTCTACTGTAGTTTGTGATTTATTCTCTCTGTATTTAACTTGCCACTTTTAGAAATTGATTATGTACAACCTCCTCCTCCCGCCCCCTCCCCAACTTAAAAAGCAAATAGGTGATGAAATTTGTATACAACTGGAGAGAGCTCTACATATTGTCTCGCCAAGATTTTTATGGGTTAGTTACTGTTCATTGTATCTATATTCTACAGATCTACTGGTTTGCTCTCATTTTACATCCTTTACATTTTACAAAATCAATGTTGGTTCTCTCTAATTTTGCCTTTGCACAGCTAAAAGGATGTTGATTAATGTAATTAATTATAGTTTTTAATCTATGACTACAATTATACTACCTACTTATGCAACTTTTACCTTTTCATTTATTTATATAGTCTGCTTTAAGTTTATATCACTCTCTCAACGTTTTATATATATATATATTTATATATATTACTGTAATATTTAGTTATAGTGGTGGTTGGTAACAGAACTAGCTAACAGCTAGTTAGAGCCACTCCTGACATTAACTGAAAGACAAGCCACAGTCACGGGACATTTTGCTTTCTAGCATTCATTTATTTTTTCACTCCCCATTTTAACTTGTTCCACGTTATATAGCGTTTGGCAGTTCACAGTGTTTGTAGGTGATCTGATCTCAGCACTCTGTTGTTTTACTGCTTTGGGCCATTTTCCTGCAAAGACTGACCTGACCTGTAGTGTTCCTTTCCTAAGTCAAACCTTCCCAGAATGTTCAGCTATTTTATTTTCCTTCAATTTATGCTTCCCTATTCTTGCCCCGCCTGCCTTTTTTTTATTTTAACTTTAGTCATTTTCTGTAAAAAAAATACCTGATAATAACTGTAAAAGGAGCCAGTATTTGTGAGGTTAAACAAAACTGGTCCATTTTCTCACTGTCTTTCTCAATATAACATGCAACAGTCGAGCGCTTAACGTGTACGCAAACACTAAATCTGTTGTGTAATTTAGCCAGTAAACTGTTTTGCAAAAGTTATATTTTATTTCTTTACGAAATTCTACGAGTCCCATTTAAATCCTGTGATTGGGGGTGGAGTGGTGGATGGGGGGAAGTGTTTCGAGTGGGGTGGATGGGGGGGGGGGGGGTGTGGAGAGGGCTTTACACCATATCTTCCTTTGCACTTAGAAGAATCGCACCAATATCTCCATCTTTCCAGCGAATCAGTATCTCTCCAGGCTTGGGTGAGCCAGGTGAATGCCGCTGAGGCCGGCGCTGAGGGATAGAGGTTTGCCTCGTCGGCAGCATCAGATCCACCTCCAAAGGCTCATCGTCACTTTCTGAAGACTGATGTTTTACGAGCTGTCGAGTTGCCTTGATCATTTTAATGTTGTCAATGTTTGCTGGCTGCTGGATTATGATCTTTTTCTTCCTCCTATAATAATAATAATAATCCTTGCATTTGATACTGCGTTTTTCACATCTTCCAGATCTCTCAAAGCGCTTCACAGAGTAGACTGTAAAGTGAATTGAGGGTGAATTGTGGGCGAAACGCGGCAGCCAATTGCACACAGCAGTGTCCCACAAACAGTCGTGGATTGAAGTGACCAATTTATCACTGTTTGGGATTTGTTTCCTTTAATAATTCCTATAATAATTACTATAATAACAACAGTGACAGGTGAACTCATAGGTGTCTCACCACTGGAGTAGAAATGGGAAAAAAAAATTCTGCTTCTAGTTAGAGGGAAAAAATGGTGCCCTCAACTTAATGAACTCTTACTAAGTTCAATTAGGAAAAGTGTAAAGTTACTTATTCATTTATTATTAAATTATTATTAATAATAACTTAATATGTTAACGTACTAAATTATTATTCTTAATACTAATAACTTTAATAATAACTTTAATAATAAGTTGTACAGCATATCCAGTCAACCCAATTGCCTGTTTAGAGGGATTTAAAGGAATAAAAGACAAGATTTTACTTACATTTTGCCCTGGGGTTTAACCACAGAATCACGAACCCGAAGATCAAGACCAGAAGAGCAATCCCTAACATGCAATAGTTCCACACAATGTCTGCAATAAAAAGAAAAGGGGAATTTAATACCATTAATAGTTACAGGGAATGTGTCTAGTAACCTGCTCAAGAAGACAACAATTCAGACCATAGGCTCCGTCCAGTGTCCTCAACCCGAGCACATCTCCCAATGTTTGATCACTATAAATGTGCAAGGATATTATTGGTAGTATTATCATAGCAAAGTTGTTAAGTTATTCTCTACCTCGTGGTTGATTCGCCCTCCTTTCCTTTCCTTCCCTCCCCCTCCAAACACGGTGAGATAAACCCAAGGTGCTTTGATTTGGTGTCAACCTGAACCAGGTCGCATGGATTCAGCCCCCAGTTCGAGGCGGTTAGCGCTGTCACCAATCTTCGCCCCCTCGTGGCAAAGATGGTACTGCAGCATTTCCATCGAAGGGCATTGTCGGTGCCAGATGTGGGCAATGGGTGGTGGGGGGAGGGGGGGGGGAAACTAAATAATGTGTAATAATAATAATAATAATAATCCTTGCATTTGCTATAGCGCTTTTCACGTCGGGAGGACGTCCCAAAGCGCTTCACAGAACACACTGTCAAGTGAATTGACTGTATATTTGTGGGCGAACGCGGCAGCCAATTGCGCACAGCAATGTCCCACAAACAGTCGTAGATTGAAAATGACCAATTTATTATTGTTTTTGGTTTTGGAGGATTATTATTAGGCTCTGTGTGGAGTAAGGAAACTTGCCCAAGGTTTCGCCCTCTGCCTGGAATTGAACTCAGGTCTCTCACTTGCAAAGCGAGTGCTCTAACCACTGAGCTACAGGACTCCAAACGGCCAAGTTACGACACTTACGCTCCTCTGGGTTGCATGAGGACTTCGTTCCTTGTGCGTTATTCTTGGGCGTAATGGGTGAAGCTACTGAACTTCTAGGTTTGGCCAATGTTCTTGTTGCGATTCCTGTTTCAGTGAGACGAAAATTAGGAACAACAGCGGTAATAAACCAGTGATCCACTCCATCATTTACGGCTAACTTCTGTTAGGCAACAGAACCTACCACACCGTGCAAATTACTCCTTTCACCTGGGATAATGTCTTGAAAATACAGAATCTCTCATGACCGATTATGTTTTCCTCCCGATGTGAAAGGCGCTCTATAAATGGGATCTTGTTGTTGTTGCTGTTGTTTATATCTTTTTAGGCTAGACATAAGACAGTGATTAGGGACCATTGTTTGCACCCGTTATCTCCCCTCCACCCACCCCACACCCCTCCCCCCCTCCCCCCCCCCCCCCCCCCCACACACACATTATTTTGGTCAACTGTATGGCTTCCAGACACTCTATGGCCATTTCAGGTGAGTCATTTTGGAATAAAAATCTTTTCTTGAAATAATTCAGTCACTCACTCTGCTCCCTTATTGTCATGATCTGTCTTGGATCAGACCACATCTCAATATCTATCCTACTAATCTAATCAAGGTCTAAATATATATTTCTTCATACAGATAACAATGAAAATATGGAATGCATTGCCCCAAAAGGACAAAAGGGGAGAATCAATTGGGATGTCTCAAAGGGAGATAGACAGATACTTGGAAAATAAGAGTAGTCTGGAGTAATGGAAGAATGTGTATCCTTGTGCCTATCCTGAATACCAAGGAAAAGTCTAAATGTTTTCAAGTAACTTCTACCCTGTTCCTCAGATTTACTTACCTTCCATCAGAGCACATAGAATGAGCCACAAACAGGCATAACTTCTGAATCCGTACATTTCTTTGCAACTGTGGAGGATGGAAATATTCAATTGAACAAGAGACCTGGAGGAGAAGAAAAAAGAAGTCACACTTTCAGCATCTGCTCTGCCCCCATTTCCCCATTCAAGTTGATTCCGTTCGATTTGACAAAACAATTAAAGATATGCGTGAACCAAAGCTGAACCCGATTTGGTAGATGTATCCTAACAGTTAACTAAAATGGTAACCTGATAGTAAACACAAGCCACTAACTATTGTAACAGTTTGCGAAAATTCTAGCCTTTTGGTAAACTCATTGAAAAAAAACAGTTGCCACTCTAAACTTTGCACACAAAAATATACATAGTGGGCTCTAATTTGCAATAGTTCTTAACAAAATTCCAGAGTGTTAGAGATTATTTTCTGTGACCCACAGAAACTCCCCTGTATTCGTCATCGAGTATCAGATTTGTCACCATTAGATCTGAAAGGATGAGCTCAGTGGCTGAGGTCAATGACACTGATGTTAACTTCCCCACTGTTTGAAAAGGAAGGGAAATTGTTTCTACGTCCTGACCAGGAAAACCTCCTAAATAGTCATTCACCTCCAGGTTGGTAGTGGAACTTTTCTGTCTGCAAAATGACTGCCAAAAGCAAAACATCACCGCATGCGAGTGAATTAATGAACCTTTACATCTAAATGAATGAATTCCTATTTGGTAGAAACGTATAATGTTTTGCCCACAAAATACACAGTCAATTCACTTTACAGTATATCCTGTGAAGCACTTTGAGATGTCTCGATGACATGATAAGGCGTAATACAAATGTAAGGATTATTATTACTATCTCAAAGAGCTTCCCAATTTCTGTGAAACTCTTTGAGATGCTTCAACATAATACGTGCTTCCAAATAGGAACTCATTCATTCAAATCCAATTTTTTTTTCTGTTATTACATCGCAAATGCAGTGGCGTTTCTGTGGGTCAAAGAAAAGTCTAATCAGATTCTTTAATCTGAAATTTTATTAAGAAATATTGCAAATTAGACCCCATAATGCATATTTTTTATGTGCAAAGTGGAGAGTGGCAACAGGGTCAATTGGTTTCTTAACAGAGCGTGTTGTTAAAGGTGATTTTTCGTTGCCAAGTCCTGCCAATAAAGAGGACAAGTACATCAACCAATGTAAAACTAATGTGAGCAAAATCAAGAGTATGACCCAAGTCGGTTGTAACCAAAAGGTTAATGACACTGAAACTTGCTAATCTTGTCTGTCTACACTCTTCTGAAGCCACCAATAAAATCAAAGGTTGTTTTTTTTTATGACCACACAATTCTATCTTTAATTACTTTTGCTTTGCTTGGCTGCTTTGAAAAACCGAGGTACATGTCCAACATTATAGTTGCTGCCAAATAGATGGTCGTTCATTCGAATCTAATGTCCAAGGTTGGCAGAAATGGGAATAGTTTTATCATGAGTTTGAAGTATATACAGCAAATCTCACACAAGTCGTATCAGTTGAGACCATACGTAATAATAATCTTTTCATTTTATTATTATTATTATACATTTAATACAACTTATGCAAAGTATGAGTTATGGCAACTTGCATAGAATGGAAACTTTTGAACGGACTTAGGCAATTATACGATTTATACAGAACAGACTTATGCACAACAGAAAGGAACCACATTATATTGAGGTTCATATAATACACAAACCTGGTAGACATAGGAACAAAAATGGTTTATTTGGTTTATTCATACACAATGAATTAATTTCAGCCCAGATATCATACATGGAAACTGCTGGGAATTTTGAAAGCGGAAGCAATTATATATACATCACCCCCTTTGCCTAATTTCTGGTGCTGGCAATAATAGTCTGGTCTCACCTGAAAAAAATAATAAAGATAACGAGAACATGATCAAATTAATTTGTAATACTACAGCATATAAAGCACGTAAACCGAAAGTTGGCAGTACCCGGCTCTGGGATATATTGTACACTTCTGTGAAAAGTTTCACCTTGTTATAACGTTACTGAATGAATGAAAGAAACATGAGTAAACACTTACCAGATTCAGTCTTGATCACTTCCGCCTCCTAGCCTCCAGCTCCCTTTAAAATAATCCATTGATGAGCCAATACTCCCTTTAAGATATACTCCCAACAGTTTAAACCTTCTTCTGTAGGTACACCACAAACAATGACTGGAGGAATTTTTTGGAATTTGGGCCTCTGGGGGTTAAACTTTGTGCTTTTATCGTCTTTCTTGCAGTTTTGAAATGTGTTCAGACGCATATTCCATCAAAGCAGGAAGCATTGCAAAGTTCAAGAAAACTTTTTCTGTGACAATTCAGTGACAATCCCTGGGGTTTGAGAGCCCAATGCTGATCCCAGATATTATGAATGGTCCATTCTGTACTTGGATAGGTTCGCAACTGCTCATTGTTAGTCTTATTTCCACAACCACAGTCCTTTAGTACAGTATATCCATGCTGTCATTTAAGTGATGCATTTATCTTAATCAATGTCACATTTTCACTCCCAAATTCTTCATTTGTATCTTATTAGCCCGGATGCAATAATATGTTCTAGTTTCTCACTTTAACTCATGTCTGATGTGAACAGACAACATATGGATGAAGGTAAACTGTATTTCATAGGGTTCACATGAATGATTAACACTATATAGAAAGTCAGTATGCTATACCCTCTCTCTCTCTCTGTTCCCACACAAATTCTCTCTTCAGATAGTCCTCAGATAGTCCTTGAATTTCCAACAACAACAAAATACTATGATTTGAACTTACCTTTGATTTGCAGACTGGAGTTTGTTGGGACTATTGAATTTCCCTGTTTGTTTCTATTGAGAAGGGTTCTTTGTCATCTCAAATCTGTTCCAGTAAGAGAACTCACCCTCTCCTTACTTCTCGTGCTGATAACATTTCTCAGTAATGAGCCTTGTGAAATTTCAGTGGGAGGAGGCGGAAGTCTTTGATTACATTGCCCACATTTTGTGATTCAGGTTCTTTGAGTCTAATCTGTCAATATTTGAATTATTCTTTCACTCAGTTATTTTTCATAAACAAAAAAACAACAGGTTGACAACCCATTT